CCCTGCTGCTGCCACTGTTTGCCATCTGTGTGGCGCTGCCCCCCTCCCCACCACCGGTCGCCTCCCTTGGTAGGCAACAGGCGAGGGGTGTGATCTCTTGGCTGGCCTGGGTCTCCCTCTGTGGGGTGATAGCTGGCCGGCCCGGCACACCTGCCACAGTATTGCTGGCCAATGGCCTGGGCCTCCCTCTGTGGGGTGATCATGGAGGCCCTCCCCTCCCAATTGATCACCCTGCTGGCCAGTAGCCTGAGCCTCCCTCTTTGGGGGCGATCAATCATGGAGCAACCCCCCATCGATTGCCCCGCAGAGGGTGGCCTGGGCTTCCCTCTGAGGAGCAATCGTGGGGTGATGACAGGGCCCCCCAACCAATCGCATCGCACCCACCTTGGCTGGCCTGGCACCAGTGTGTGTCATTTCATGGTCATCCTGAAGGTCATCTGGATGGTTGTTCTGCTGTTCGGTTGATTTGCATATTATACTTTTATTATCCTATCTAATAAAAGAGAAACATGGTAATTAGTGTACGACCACTACCCTTCCCATTGGCTAATCAGGGCTATATGCAAATTAACTGCCAGCCAAGATGGCGGCCAGCAGCCAGGCAGCTTAAAGCGAACATGAGGCTTGCTTGCTTCAGTGATGGAGGACTCCAACGTTCCCCACCTGCCGCTGCCGGCCTCTGAGCTGCAACTCTAAGCAACTATGTTACAAATATAGAAGCTAAACAAAACCCCAGAAACCTGCTTTTGTCCACCGGCATTAAGCCAGCAGGATCGCAACATTGTTTCAAATACAGAAGGTAAACAAAGGCCAGAAACCTGCTTTCAGCAGCGGAGGCCTCACAGCTGGAGCCTCAGAGCTAAAGCTGGCCCAGAATAAAAAAAAAAGAAAAAAAGGAGCGGTTGGGAGCTTCAGTCACCCGCCAGCCTGAAAACAGCCCTCAGCCCCTCACCCAGACTGGCCAGGCACCCCAGTGGGGACCCCCACCCTGAAGGGTGTGTGACCAGCTGCAAACAGCCATTATCCCCTCATCCAGGCTGGCCAGGCACCCCAGTGGGGACCCCCACCCTGATCCAGGACACCCTTTAGGGCAAACCAGCTGGCCCCTACCCATGCACCAGGCCTCTATCCTATATAGTAAAAGGGTAATATGCCTCCCAGCACTGGGATCAGCGTGACAGGGGGCAGCGCCCAAACCCCCTGATCACCCTGCGGCTCTGTGTGTGACAGGGGGCGGGGCCACAACCTCCCTATCCGCCCTGCTCTGTTCGTGACAGGGGAAGGCGCCCGAACCCCCTGATCAGCCCCGCTCTGTGCCTGATAGGGGGGAGCTCCCCAACCCCCTGATTGCCCTGCAGCTCTGTGTGTGACAGGCTGCGGTGCCCCAAGCCCCTGATCGGCCCTCCTCTGTGTGTGACAGGGTGCGGCGCCCCAACCCCCCCCTCCCCTCCACGGGCCCTGCTCTGTGTGTGACGGGGTAGAGCCATAACCTCCCCATCAGCCCTGCCCTGAGTGTGACAGGGTACGGCGCCCCAACCCCCTGATCCACCCTGCTCTGTGTGTGACAGGGGGCGGTGCCCCAACTCCCCTATCGGCCCTACTCTGTGAGTGACAGGGGGAGCTCCCCAACCCCCTGATCGACCCTGCTCTGTGCCTGACAGGGTACGGAGCCCCAACCCCCCTGATGGGCCCTGCTCTGTGAGTGACAGGGGGCAGCGCCCCAACCCCCTGATTGGCCCTGCTCTGTGCGTGACAGGGGGTGGCACTGCAACCTGCCCATCAACCCTGCCTTGAGTGTGACAGGGGACGGTGCCCCAACCCCCCAATTGGCCCTACCCTGAGCGTGACTGAGGGTGGCATCGCAACCTCCCGATCCGCCCTGCTCTGTGCATGACAGGGTTGGTTCCCCAACTCCCCAATCGGCCCTGCTCTGAGCCCGACCAGGGGCTGCACCTAGGGATTGGGCCTGCCCTCTGCCACCTGGGAGCAGGCCTAAGTCAGCAGGTCATTATCTCCCGAGGGATCCCAGACTGCGAGAGGGCACAGGCCAGGCTGAGGGACCCCTATCCCCCCCGAGTGCACAAATTTTTGTGCACCGGGCCTCTAGTCTATAATAATAAAAGCATAATATGCTAATTAGAACAGACATCCTTCCAGACATCCTTCCAGATGACCTTCTGGACAAAGCCAGGGCTATGAGGAAAGCTGGGGTCCTGGGTGCCTGCCAGTGGCCAGAAGGAAGCCCAGGTGCCAGGTGCCAGAGGGAAGCTGGTCCCGGCAGCTGGGAGAAGGAAGGCCTACTCTTGCACAAATTTTGTGCATTGGGCCTCTAGTTATAGATATAAAAGCCTAATATGCAAATTGTCCCCATGGGAGTTTGACTGGGAGACAGATAGCTCGCCATGATGTGCGCTGACCACCAGGGGGTGGTGCATGATGAAGGAAGGCCCCAACTGGCAGCTGGCAGCCGGGGAAGGGAGGCCCTGGCCAGCAGCCAGAGGCTCCAATTGGCCCTGATCGCTGGCCAGGCCTAGGGACCCTACCTGTGCACGAATTACATGCACTGGTCCTTTACTGTGATTTATAAAAACGAATCAGAGATGCGCTTCCATTTAATCCACACAGTGGAGTGGACCTTTGCCTCGGGTCACAGCTGTGTGCCCACAGGACAGAGAGAACAGGCGAGGAGGGGACCGCAGGAGACACAGCTTTGGGAGATGGAGAGACACACAGTGGTGACCAAGGATGCCCCGCCCCCTCTGCTTTGGGGAGGGTCTGCAGCCAGGGTTCCAGGAGAGCGGGGAGGTCTGACACCAGCAAGCACACCTGACGGAGGAGCGGGAGGCCCACAGCCCTCCCCTGCGGAGCCAGGGCTGGCACTGTGCCGTGTCTGCATCTGGGCAGGAGAGGCCGCAGCCTGCAAGGGCAAGGCTGCCTCACAAGCCCAGGCTCCGGCAGAAAGAAGGAGGGGGGCCCATGGCCAGGTCCGGAGGGGCACGCACCACTATCCCCCGTGTTCCAGGGACAGGCTCTTGCCCCAGGCCACGCTTAGCTGTTGGGGAAGGTGAGAGACACAGCCAGCGAGGCAGCCACTCCCAGGCAGCACGTGGAGGGAGGAGAGTGGCTTTTGGTGGCCGTCAGCTGTCTACCACAAAGGTGTCAAAAGACCTGTCCTTTCCCAAGAACCGGCAAGATGGCAGGAGTGGAGCAGAAGCGGACCTTCCCCTCGTTCTCCTACTGCGGCCTGGCTCTCCACCAGCGGCCTCAGCACCCGTGAGCAGCTGCTGCAGCTGTGCGGCACCCGCCCGCGCCCCGCAGGCGAGGAAGCAGCTCTCCTTGTGCCTGTGCCAGGCTGGGAGGCCCTGCCACGGGGAAGCCAGACGTGGTGAACTCGCACCTGCAGGACGTGACCACCTTGCACCTGTGGGACGCGACTGTCCTGCCGGAGAGGGTGGCAGCGTGTTGGGCGTGTCGGCAAGACCTTCAACCAGGAACTCAAGCCTGAGCTGGTGGGCCACTACGGGGTGAGTTCTCCATCACCTCTAAGCCAGCCTGGCATCGGGGCTGCCCGCTCCTCCCGCTTCATCCCTCTCACGTAGCTGCTAAAAGCACAGACTCACCTAAAAAAAGACCTAACCCCCAGGCAGCCTTAGTCAGAAAGCTCTCAAAGGTGACCCTCACCGAAATGAGGACACAGCCCAAGGAGGAGAGTGACAAGGCACCTGGCCAGCAGGGACTCCATCTGGGAGGGTGGCCAGCGCCAAAGGTCCTTCAGGCCCGGAGAGCCCTCAGGTCTGGTCGGATCACCAGAGGGGTGGACCGGCTCCGGAGGAGGCGGAAAGTCCGGTCAGAGAGCCTGGGCGGGCGACGACGGCACACAGAAAGCTCAGGAAACAGACAAGCACCAAAGAACGTTTTATAGGAAGTAAATCTAATGCCGAGACACTGTATGACTCACCTGGAATGATAGTAACATGTCGGAGCAGTAATGTAAACAGGGGTGGTGATTTAATAAAAGGTGTAAGTACCGAGGCAGGGTCGGGGAGGGGAAGTGGGCGATGGGTAGTTGAATCTTAACGGGAAGTTAAATTCTAATCTTCTATAATAAGTCAGTCGGTAAACCCTAGAACGGAAAATCACGAATCTGCAGTATATACACGTTATGCATAAATCGCACTGAGCAGACAATGGCCATGGAGGGAGAGCAGGCCTGGGGGTGGGGCGGCGCCAGCTGCTCTTTATCATAAATTACCTCCATGTGTTACTTTTATAAAAAAGGAAACTTACCTGAAAAGGAGGGAACAATATTTTACTACACTTTAAAAGAAACAAGAAAGGAAAGGAAAAGAAGAGGCCCCAAGTCTGCGGACAGAAGCACCAAGTAGGAGGCCTTGCCCAGCTACGGTCCAGGAAAGAGCTGGGCAGGTGCGCTGTGCAGGTGAGCTGGGCAGGTGCGCTGTGCAGGTGAGCTGTGCAGGTGTGCTGTGATGTGCTGTGCAGGTGCGCTGTGCAGGTGTGCTGTGCAGGTGCGCTGTGCAGGTGTGTCGTGCAGGTGCGCTGTGCAGGTGTGTCGTGCAGGTGTGCTGTGCAGGTGTGCTGTGCAGGTGTGCTGTGCAGGTGCGCTGTGCAGGTGTGCTGTGCAGGTGCGCTGTGCAGGTGTGTCGTGCAGGTGCGCTGTGCAGGTGTGTCGTGCAGGTGTGCTGTGCAGGTGCGCTGTGCAGGTGCGCTGTGCAGGTGTGCTGTGCAGGTGCGCTGTGCAGGTGTGTCGTGCAGGTGCGCTGTGCAGGTGTGTCGTGCAGGTGTGCTGTGCAGGTGCGCTGTGCAGGTGAGCTGGGCAGGTGTGCTGTGCAGGTGTGCTGTGCAGGTGCGCTGTGCAGGTGTGCTGTGCAGGTGCGCTGTGCAGGTGCGCTGTGCAGGTGCGCTGTGCAGGTGCGCTGGGCAGGTGGGCTGTGCAGGTGCGCTGTGCAGGTGAGCTGGGCAGGTGCGCTGTGATGTGCTGTGCAGGTGCGCTGTGCAGGTGTGTCGTGCAGGTGAGCTGGGCAGGTGCGCTGTGCAGGTGTGTCGTGCAGGTGTGCTGTGCAGGTGCGCTGTGCAGGTGAGCCGGGCAGATGTGCTGTGCAGGTGCGGCGTGCAGGTGGGGTGGGCTGAGGACGCTGGGGGCAGATGTGAACGTGAGAAGCATATCCTCCATGAGCGGTTTATCTCTCCACCCCTCAGGTGTTCCAGGGCTCCCGCAGCTTCCTGCAGACTCTCCATACATGTTCACTGGAGGCGGTGGCACGGACCCTAAGTCAGAAAGCATTTCCTGGGGGCGGAAGGGGGGGTGGTGCAGCTCAGGGCAATGCCTGGCGCCTGCTGGGAGGAGCAGTGGTGGCAGCTCCCTGCCTCCTCTGGGGTCACCTGGGCCCAGTCTTCTTTTCCTGGGTTCCATGTCATGTGCAGCACCCGGAGGGTGAGCGTGGTGGGTGCTTGTTTGTGTGTGTACTTTCTCACACATGCACGTGTGCACAGGTTTACACATATGTGGGGGGGTTTGCATATGTGAATGTTGTCTTTGGGTGGAGGGTGGGCCTGTCCTGTCCAGTGTTGCTCCCTGCACACAGGAATGGCTCCCCACCCCCGCATTGTCCTTAGAGCTGGCCCTTGGCCAAAGGTAAAGCCTGGGCACCCAGCCCCCTCCCCCCAACTCGGCCTCCTCACATTTTCTCCACCGGACGCTCTGCATTCTCTCTCTTTCCTGTGGCAGATCTGCTCCTGGAGGCTCTGAGGGGCTTGCGTTAGGACAGGACGGGGGGTTAAGCTACAGGAGTGAGTAATGGTGGGTGTCAGGCCTCCTCCTAGGAGAGGTTTCATTGTTTGCTCTGGTTTGGTTTTGTCAGGGAACCTTCCCTGTGGCCCAGGAGCCTGAAGCCCAGGCTCCTCCTGGACGCTGCTGGCCGGTGGCTCTCCCAGCAGGTGCCAGAGCATCTCCTGGGGCCTGTGCCTTTGTCTCCTGGGATGCGGCACCGCTCACTGGCCTCTCCTGTCTGCCCAGAGCCCCTCAGGCCAACCGCGTGCTCAGCGTTGGGGTTCCTCACTTGAAGCCTCGGAGCCCTCCTTTCCTGTCCCCCAGCCCAGCTCCCGGGTGTCAGGACTTGGGCCTGACCCCGCACGGCATGCCTCAGTCTGGGCCAGAACCCGTGGCCGGGGCTCCTCTCTGCCCCGAAGCAAGGCAGCCTGGCCCAGAGCCATTCTGTCCCCAGAGCTGGTGGGGAGGTTGGCGGGCTACCTCCCTTCTCCCCTGCTGCGCTGCTGCCCCCTGCTGGCCACCCTCACGCTCCCTGGAGCCTTCCCCTCCCTGCACAGGCACCTCTCCACAGGGCCTTGGTGCTTGCATGCTTCTGAGGACAGGGGGCTCACCACCTCGCGGAGCAGCCTGCTCCAGGCAGAGATGCTTCTGCCTCTTAGAAAAGTTCTTTGAAGTGAGCTGAAGTCTGAATGCTGGTTACATCCACCTGTTTATTCATAGTCATACCCTCTGGAGTCACACATTTTCTTCATCATCATCATCCTCACCATCACCTGTCGATGTACCAGGTGCATTGTGTTGTTCAATCCTTTCAACACCTGTGAGGCTGAGACCTGTGTCATCCCATCACACAGACGGGGACCCGAGGCTCAGAGGAAGAGTGTCATCTAGTGTGCCACACAGGCAGGAAGTCGCAGGCCCCTCATTTCCACCCCCCCCCCCCCCGCTTGGCCCCCTCTCCAGCTTGTTTTCAACTCCCTGCCAGGCCCTGCTGCCCACAGAAACACATACCTTCCCTGGCCCGGTGGGAATTCACTCCTCCTCCAGGAAGCCCTCCGGGCACAGCAAGGGTAGGGAGGAGCATTCCTTCCAACAGGGAGAGGGAAGGAGGGGAGGGGGTGACGGGGCTGTCTGCGATGTGGTGAACCTGTGGTGGTGACACAGTGGGGAGGGTGCCTGCTGCTCCTGTCCCCTCCAGGCAGGTGGATGCCCCCACTTGCCTGGCAGGGCCCCACTTTGAGAGGAGGCTTGGACCTGCTCTCGTGCTGGCCGTCGGCAGGATGCGGGGCCTTTGGCAGGGGTGACATCCTCTTGCAGGCCAGGCCGGGCTGGCCCGTGAATACCAGCTTCCATGGGGCCTCGGCAGTGCTGAGAGGTGAGCTGGGCGAGCAGACTTGATTGCCTCTCGAAGGACAAGGGCAGGACAGGCATGAGGGGCCTCCTGCACCCCAGCCTTCCCTGGAGCACCAGGCCACATGCGGGATGAGGAGCCGTGGCTGTGTGAGGGGGACGGACTCTCCCCGACCTTTGATGACCCCGGCCACCCCCCAAGGCACAGTGCCCTTGGGCATGCCAGGCACCCTCAGCCCTGGCTGCCACCACAAGCTCTTCCATTTCTCCGTCTAACTCCTGAACCCCAGGGAGCGGCTCCAGTCAGGACTCCCACGGGTGGAATGTTGCCAAGCTCCGGCCGAAAGCTTGCCTAATGTTGCACCATTTCGGTGCAGGGCAAACCTTCCAACCCACTGGGCTCCTTTATCCACCCCGTGCAGGATCCATGCTGGGTGCCCATGCAGTCCCTGCTTACATACCTCCAGTGACGGGAGGCTCATTAGCTCCGAGGCAGCCTGAGACTCAAAACAGCGAGGCCTTCCTTTCCGCAGAGCCGAGGGTTGTCTCCCCGAGGCCTCCTTCACGAGGCCCTCAGAGGGACTGGGGTGCCTGTCAGAGGGAGCGAGTCTCTCACTCCCACCCTCAGCCAAGCTGCTGGAACTCCGAGCCCCGGCCTGTCCGCGTGGGGTGCAGAGTGGAGAGAGTTCTTGGCAGAGCTGACCTGTGTGTCCCCCCGCCTCTTTGGGGGCGGGGTCTCGGAGGCCCAGGCCTGAGTCTTGCTGGGACGTGTCTAAAGCGAGAGGCTGCCCAGGATCCTGGCCTTTCCTGGGCGGACCTTGTCGGGGGCTGGGCTTGAGTGCCTGAAAGTTCCCGCCTCAGCGCTGACTCCCAGGACCTGCCTCCACCTGGGGCTGCAGGAGCTCCATGAAGCCAGACCACCTCCCGTTGCTGCTCCAGGCACAGCCATCACCCCTCAGCCCGCCCTGCCCACCCCCAGGTCTGGGCCCCGAGGGCCATGCGGGCAGTTCACTGCCTTCCTCCTGTGAGCGGCTGGTCCCCCGCATCTCCCCAGGCTTGGAGGCAGGGCACGAACAAACACATAGAGGGAAATACACACGTTTGTCCCTGTTAAGTTTCATCTCATTAGATCCAGCCCATCGCTCCAGCCTGTCAGCTTCTCCTCAGATCCCAGCCGTCATCTGGCACATTTGCCATCATCCCCCAGCTGTGTGGCATCCGCAAATTTGATAAAGAACGTGGAGCGTGTTTGTCTCGGAGGAAGCCCGCTGCCCTCACTGGGAGGCCGGAGCACCGGCGTGTGCGGGAGTGTGCAGGCCACACACACACACACACACACACTCACACACACACCTACACACACACTCACACACACACACACTCACACACACACCTACACACACACTCACACTCACACACACACACACTCACACACCTACACACACACTCACACACACACCTACACACACACACTCACACACACACCACCTCACACACACACTCACACACACACACACTCACACACACACACACTCACACTCACACACACACACTCACACACCTACACACACACTCACACACACACCTACACACACACACTCACACACACACACACACACTCACACACACACTCACACACACACACACTCACACACACACACACTCACACACACACACACACACACACTCACACACTCACACACACTCTTCCCTCTCTGGCTGCTCAGCAGCCTTGTCCAGCCACCGGCAGGACCCGTGTGATCCTGGGACTCTGTGCCCCAAGAGGGCCTGGGCTCAGCAGCCACTCGTGCACGTGTCCCGTGGGGATGGGACACTGCAGGACACACATGCCTCTCCTCCTCTGGCTGCTGTTTAAACAGCCTCTGACCCAGCCGGGCCCCGCAGGCCCCTCCCCCACGCCTGCGTCCAGGCTGGCCAGCCAGCTCCCTCCCTAACAGGCCAGGACTAATACAGCTCAACCCACCTTCCAGGTAAAACTAATCTCATAGGTATGAGATGATAATATCAACGGGGACATGCCAGTGGGGGAGGGAGGGCACCTAGTAAGAACAGAGCCGCAGCTGTGTAATAATTACTCACCTTACTAACTATAGACAAGAGATTTCCTTACAGACCCTGGCACACTGGAGGATGGAATGAGGCTGTAAAAACATAAGATGCCTGATGGGTACATGTCTCAGAAAAGAAATGAATTCTGAGAACAGACCGAGGACAGGACACGCTGATTTGGTGGCTGTGCCCGGACCCTGGCCCCCCCGGGAGTTTTTCTGAGGAGCGCTGACCATCCTCCGGTCCCAGGCCCGGGCTGAGCTGTCTGTAACATCACAGATTAGCCACCTTGTCATCGGGCTCTGGCTCCTGAAGGCCGGGCTGCAGGCCCTCCCTCCCCTTTCCCTGTCACACTGCAGCTCGCAGCTGCACGTAGCTGTCTTCCCCCTCGCGTGTGCAATCAGCCATTGGCAAGGGGGTCAGAGCAGGATTTCCAGGTGAGCGCCTGCTCTCCGTGCTGCCGGCAGTATTGGGGTAAGCACTCCTATAGGACTCAACCCCGTTTCTGCTTAGTGTGGCTCAAGTGGTGACAGGCGGCCTCGGACCCCTGTGTCTGGTTTCACCTCCACTCTAAACACCCCAGATGCCTCCTGGGTGGCTGTGGGGGGTGGGCCCGGGACGACCACGTGGGGCAAGGCTCCTTGCTGCCTGCTTTGCTCTATTCTTCTCACCAGGGGACCCCAGGCCCCGTCTGTGCAGTGACTGCATGGCGGGGAGACCCAGGTGCTCACTACCGAGCCCACTGGGTGCGGCCTTAGCACGGCGCCAACATCCCAGGCCTGGGCAGCCCCCCAGCCCCCTGAGCCGCCCAGTCCATTCCCAGCCTCCAGGTCTGATGCTGGAGTGCGGAGGACTCGTGCCCGTCTTCCCGCTGTCTACCTGAGTCACTCAGCTGCTCCAGTGACAAACATGCCAGAGTCCTGGTGGCTTAGGTCAGCACAGGTGGGTTTCTTGCTCACACTGCCGCACGGTGGGCCAGCTGGGTGCGGGGCCCGGCCATGGCCGCTCTGGGACCCGGCTGGGGCATCACGCCACGGCAGGGGAGGAGGCAAGGCGTCCCGGCTCCTCCTGTTTCTGCCTCAAAAGCCACTTGCCACTCCCACTCCCATCCCACGGGCTAAAGCCGGGCCCTGGCCCCGCTGGGTTCAGAGTGGGGAAGTCTAACTTTCCTTGTGCCAGGAGTTTTGGCAAATGGCCTCAGTGACTGCTCTGCAAATGAGCTGCCCTGTCCCTCAGACCACGCGTTCCCACCACACCGCCCATCTCTGAGTGTAGCGTGGCACGTCCTTCCACTTCCTGCGCTGGGGCCGGCGCCCCGGGCTTGGCTGCGTCTCTGAGAGCTAGGCTTTCCTCTCTCCTCCACCTCGGGGCCCCACCCCTGCTCTGCGGTGCAGGGAGGCCCCGGTTCCGTTCTGACCCCTGCTCTACCCTCTGACGGGCCTGCAGGTGCCCCCCCCACACCCCCGCCCCCCGGCGTCCTCAGAGCCCTCTGAGAACAGCGGCCGGCATCCAGCCCCGCATGTGCCGCCCCTGGATGCGGCTGCCCTGGCCCGAGCCCCTGCCTCTCAGTTCATTGATTTACGTGAGCCAGTGGGCCACCTGGCGCTGAGTCTGTCTGAGCTGTTTCTGTCACTTTTAACTGAGAAATGCTGAGTGATACACACTCCGGGACCTCATCCGTCCCGGTGTCAGTCATGTTACAAGGAACAGACGGCCCTGAAACTCTGTGGCTTTGTGATAAAATCCCATAGAAACACACACACACACACACACACACACACACACACACACACCAGGAAGTGCACTAAAATTGATAAAGCCTCAATAACGTCTGTGCCTGAGTTAATAATGTTGTGAGGGTTCCGGGTTTTGATACTATCCAGTGATGGCGAACCTAGGACACACGTGTCGGAGGTGACACACAAACTCATTTTTTTGGTTGATTTTCCTTTGTTAAATGGCATTTAAAAATATAAAATAAATATCAAAAATATAAATCTTTGCTTTACTATGGTTGCAAATATCAAAAAATTTCTATATGTGACACGGCACCAGAGTTAAGTTAGGGTTTTTCAAAATGCTGACACTCCGAGCTCAGAAGGTTCGCCATCACGGTACTATGCTGCGGTTATTTGGGATGTCGTCACTGCGGGGAGCTGGGTGAAGGGTACACGAGAAATCCCCACAGTTTTGCATCTTCTGTGAGTTGTAAACTACCTCAAATTAAAAATTTAATAACAATACGGACTTACTGGCTTAACACAACCGTGTGTTGTGTGACTCATGATTCCCCCTTTGGGCCAGGCTGGGCGGGGACAGTGCATGCCAGCTGGGATGCGGGCACAGCTGGGGGCTGGCGGGCGTCCTTCTCCCCACAAGGCAGCTGGGCAGCTGTTTCCTCTTTCCTTGGTGGACCTGGCCCCAGGGATGAGAGCGGAAGTGACAAGGCCTCTGAGACCCTGGTTCCGAACTGGCCCCATTCCATTGGTCGAGCAGTCACGGGTGGCCCGTTCAGTGGAGAGGGCTGGCCGGCAGCTCTGGACGACAGGAGGGCAGACAGCGTGGCACCATTAGCTCAGGAGGTGCCAAGGGTGTCAGAGGGCTGTGGACCTGCCCAGGGCCAGGCCCACCTCTACACGCGGGAGGCTGGGGTGGAGGCTCACGCGGGGAAGAGGGAGAGTCCACAGATGGACTTGGGGGCCCAGGTGGACTCCCACCCGGGGCTCCTCAGCCCGCCCCTGGGGCCGCCCCACACAGGGCCACCTCCCAGCCTGGCTCTGCTGCGTGGGGGGTTTGCATGCGCTGGTGTGTGCAATCAGAAAGTTCAGCGGCCCTTCCACTGTGCTTAAATTAGTCCCCATGAAATCCAAATCACTTCATTTGCAGAGAAGGGCTTAATTGCAAAGGGAACGCGGCAAAGGGAATTCTGTTGCCTGTTTTCATTGAAGAAAATTACTGTACTTTCCCCTGTCTCCTCAGCAAACAGAAGCGAGTGGAAATTGGGCTGTAATCCCCAGGGATGCCTCTCTGCCCTTCCTTCTCTGAGCCCGCAGCTCCTCCCGCTCCAGCACTGCTCCCCACGCCATGCTCACGCACCCCTGTGAGGTTGAAAGGATCACTTCACGGGGCCTCTGCCATGGCCTGCCGCCCCCCCCCCCCCCCCCCCGTTTGGCAGTAAGAAACCCCCATCCATCTTGTGAAATCTCCTCCCTGCCTTTCTCCCTCACCTGGGCTGCAGAGAAGTCACATGTCAGAGGGCTTCCCGGCCAGCACGAGTGTCCCACGTGGGACACCCACACCTGGTCTGGGAAGGCCGTTCCGTTCCCTCTGCTTCTCTGCCTGCGAGCTCCACCTTCTCGGGCAGTCCAGCCGGTTTCCCCCGGGGCCAGCGCTGCCCGGGGCAGTGGGACGGGGACTCTTGAGGGAGACAGGAAACAGGCTGGTAGCCTGCAGGGGGAAGTACAAGCAAGGAAGTGAAAATGTAGCACATCTTGTAGATGGAATGTTAGGAGCGAAAGGAGGCTGGGCCCTGGAGGCTGTGCGGGTCAGGGAGCTGCACCTCCAACAGGCACGTGGTCTGGAGAGGCGGGAGCTGGGCGGAGTGGGCGGAACAGCAAGTGCAGAGGCTCAGAGGCAGGCGTGGGGCTCGTGAGTGAGGGCAGCAAGGCGTGACCTAGGCAGAGGGGGGAGACCAGAGGAGGCGAGAGGGGCCTCTAGGCCCCTTCCTCAGGACCATGGTGGTTTTATTCTGTTCCAGCAAAGCCACAGCAGATCTGAGCATGGCTTCCCCTTCTGTTCTTTGGAGGAAGGAAGAGCAGGGCTGAGGACATGGGCTCTGGAGCTGGGCTGTCTGGGTTCAAACCCCGGCTTCCCCACCTCCCTGAGTTCCCTGTGCCTCAGTTTCCCCCCTATACAGGGATTAACAACATACCCACATGTGTGGTGGCTGTGAGGATCAGGGGCTATATGTAACTTACTGTGTGTGCCATAATGCTATCACGTGTGCCTTACTAGCACGTGCGCCTTCTATATGTGCCTCCTGCCCCTCAGGGGACACTTGCCTCCTCTGGCTAATTTTAATAATTTATTTCTTAATAACTTTCCCTGCTGTTGGGATAAAGCAATTCACCCGAGGTCCAGCCAGAAAAGGCAGAGAGGGTCCTGAGGACACTGGGTCCCCCACCGCACGCTGCCCCTGCAGCACTGGGCGGCAATGCCCCACCCAGGCCCTCTGCCTGTCCCCTGGTGATGGTGGGGCCCTCGCCAGACCCTCTGTCTCTAGAGCGTTCTCTGGTGCCGGGTGGAGAGCTGGCCTGGCTGCCGAGAGGGCCGTTTTGAAGAGCTGGGCCGGCTCGGCACCCCCACTCCCTGCCCTTCCCTCTGGGGCGCCGACAGGATAATGGATCTGAGTCCACACACCTGCCTCAACGAAGGGCTTTTTTTGAGGCTCAAAGTCAATGGTGTTTTAATTAAGGGAACAGCTGCTGCTGCAGTTCCTGTGATCGCCAGTGACAAATGGCCGTGTTTACCTTTTCCTGAGCTGACTCCGGAAGGCGGCCTGGAGCTCCTGGGTGGACACCTCCCCCGCCAGCACCCCCTTCTTCATCGGGGCCCACCAGGCCGAGAGGCTGCTTGTCACTGAGGAGACGGGTCTGTGGCCCCGTGAGCGCTGGGAAGGTATTGGGCAGAGAAACCAAAGCCCCTCAAGGGCTCCCACCCAAAGACACCCTAGGACCTGCCCGGGGCGGTCCCAGCACCTCCAGGGCCCCGAGGGTGCAGAGCCGGGATCTGCAGAGCCGGGTCTGGGTCTGGGCATCTGAGGATGCCCTGGGGCCTTTGGCCCAGCTCCGGACCATAAAGGAAGAGGTCCCAGCACCTCCAGGGCCCCGAGGGTGCAGAGCCGGGATCTGCAGAGCCGGGTCTGGGTCTGGGCGTCTGAGGATGCCCTGGGGCCTTTGGCCCAGCTCCGGACCATAAAGGAAGAGCGGGCCTCTTGTTATCTGGTGTTTTGATCTCTCCTGCTCTCCAGCTTCACAGAAAGGGAGCCAAGGTCTGTGCTAGCTCCCTCCCCAGCTTAAGACAAAAACACAGTGGAGGGAAAGCCTTTCATTGCAAAACAGAAAGGGGAAGATGGGCTCGTTTTCCTCTGGGTCCTTCATCAATTTACCCACCGTTTCCAGCGGATGGGAGGACAGAGGGCACCAGCCACCACCCACAGGCGGGATAGCCCAGGCTGTCTTCTCCCATCTCGCATCTCGGTGCCAACCCCCACGCCTGCAGCTTCACCCGCACCGGCGCGGGGCAGGGTGGTGCTGGGGGAGGGCGCTAGGCCCCGAGCCCACTCCGTAGACCTCTGCCCTGTGGGGGCCGCCCTGCAGGTGCTCTCCTCCAGGACACCTCTGCCCCCAGCATGACCTCCTGCCCCCTCAGGGGACACTTGCCTCCTCTGGGCCCCGCCAGCCTCACACTGCTCTTGCCTGTCCCCCAGGGCTGGTCTGAGCACCAGGGCTTTGAGGAGCACAGGAAACAAGGCCAAGGGAAGAGGCTCTACCAGGCTTCTGGCCAGTCCGCCTGCTTAAATGTGGAAACAGGCCCTGCGAGGTCCCCGTTGCTGGAGGGCCCGGCCCTGGGAGGCTGAGCCCTGAGGGAGGAAGGCCCAGGCGCCCTGCCCAGCCCACGGGGCCTCTCCGCACGCAGCCAGTGCTCACCTGCTCCTCGCCCACTGCTTGGCGGGGAAGGGAACCCAGCCCGGGGAGAGGCTCATCATTCTCAATAAAGCGTTTATCCCTTTCAGCCCTGATGGTGACGCTGTTGCGTCTTATTCTGGCCGGAGCCTGATTATGAGCCGGGTTCTTTGCCAGGGGCCCGCCGACCATCCAGACGTCAGAGGAAGTGAGAGTGCTGCTCAAACGAGGGAGACTGGAGCTTTATTAAGAAACAAAATACCAGTAAGCCCAGCAGGGGTGGTTAATGCCTTTTGGAGGCAGCTGTTGCGTCTCCCCACCTGCCCACCTGCTGCAGATGCGAACATCTGGGGATGAGACTCCGTTGGAGAGGCTCCTGCACTTCATAAGGTGCCTCCGGCCTGTTTCTGGAGACCCCCACCCCCAGGCCACTGCTGAGCGGCAGCCAGGAGGGGCTGAGGGCGGCAGGCAGGCTCCCCATGGCCAGCCCGGGCAGTGGTGGGCCCCGCCTCACGGCGCTGCAGGTCCCGGTTCCCCAGCCCCGGGTGGGGAGGCTGTGGTTGCTGTAAACAAGACCTCCCCACACTGGAAGGGCGAGGCACCCTCGGCGGCTGCGGTGCCTGGCTGCAGGTCTGGCCTGTAAAACCTCGTCTTCTGTGCCAGGCCCCACTGAAGGCGGCTGCGGAGATGGTGGCTGGTGGCAGCCCACCTCCTCCCTCAGGCCCTGTGACTCCTCCAGGCTCCTCCCCGGAGGCCACAGCAGCAGCTCACACCTGGCCCGAGGGCCGGACTTCTCCTACAGGCCCTCCCCTTCAGGAGAGGCCCCAGCCGCTAGAGCTCCCAGGGAACCCTGAAGGCACATGGACGGCTGCTCCCGGCCCGCCGCCCAGCCCCTGCCCCTGCCCCTGCCCAGGGCCCACACCCAACCCCCAGGGGCTCGCCAGGGGCTCGGGTGCTGCTTCTCTTCTATCCGCGGACGATAAACCTTTCTCCACTTTTCTGCCGGCAGAGGATGGGCCAACGCAGAGGACAGCGGCCCCTCTGCCCGGCTTTCCCCACCCTCCGGGGAAGCTCGGCTTTCCCACAAGCGAGGCTCTGGAGTTTGCAGAGACCATTGGATGACAGTCAGGAGGTGAAAGTCAAGGCAAGTGTGAATTCAGCACCAGCAGGTCGGTGGCCCTCTCGAGCCCCTGAGGGGACAGGCCCCGCGAGCTTTATCGCTCTGAGTCGGAGAAGAAAGAGGGCTTAGTCCATCTCCACACCAGCATGTCCTCTCCAGCCACGCGGTGGGACTCCGTCTGGATCCGGGATTCGTTGGAGGCCAGGAACTCCACAGCGCGGTCCCAGACCCGCTTCATGCGCCTCCTGCAAAGAGAGGGGCCAGGCTCAGCAGGCCGCTGGGCTCGGCTCTCCAGGGAGCCGGCGGGTCTGTGGATGACGCCCCTGTACAAAGGGAGGCGGAGCTCCAGCTTCCACAGGGTTCCTGCAGGGGGCATTTCCTGGGCCCCGGGCAAATGACTCCACGGTTTCGGTTCCCAAAGCATTCCTTTAAAGCGGCGGTTCTCAACTTGTGGGTCGTGACCCCTTTGGCGGTCAAACGACCCTTTCACAGGGGTCGCCTAAGACCATCCTGCATATCAGATATTTACATTACAATTCACAACAGTAGCAACATTACAGTTATGAAGTAGCAACGAAAATAATTGTATGGTTGGGTCACAGCATGAGGAACTGTATTTAAAGGGCCAGAAGGTTGAGAACCACTGCTTTGAAGGGAGCTGAAAGGGGCCAGCAGTGTTGGGAGCAGTCCTGCGTGTGCATGGGATGGGGCTACGCGCCCTGGGCCTGCTATTGCACAGCCTGGCCAGGCGGCCCCCGACCAGTGCTGTCTGCCTCTTAATGCCTCCTGTGGGCTAATTAAAGTGTGGCTGCCGGCTGCTGAGCCCAAACCCCACAGCACTTCAGGGGTGGGATGAGCTAAGCATCCCGCTGGGGAGCTGAGAAGCAGCAGCCCCCAGGTAGAGCCCCTCCCGGCTGGCGGGCGTAGGCCAGCAGCCAGGGGTCCTGCATCCCCTCCGAGCGCCCCTCCCGACCAGACCAGACCCCAGGGCGGCCGGGAGGCTGCTTCCCGAGCCCCTGCTCTTGTCAGCTCAGACCACCTGCCCACGGACCGCGCTGCGTGTGCGGAGGGAGCGTGTGCGAGTGAGAGCAGGAGGTCTCACCCTGGGGAGGCCAGAGGGGGCAGCTCTAAGGTGGCCTGTGGGCCAGGAGGCAGAGGGGCTGAGGCTGGCTTCCCCGGGGCGGGTCCTGCCACCGACCAAACCCCACGGCTGGTTAGCAGCCCCCACGTGGCTGGTTTGGCCAAGGCCACACACGCCTCGGGACTGAGCTGGCCACGCTGGGCCCGACGGGAGGCAGCCGGCAAGGTGTGGGGTCTGGGGTCGTCCTCCCCGAGCTGCCCATTAACAGGTAATGAGCAGGCGGCCAGCAGCCTCTCCCCCAGCCCCTGCGCTCCTCCTGCATGTCCCCGTCTTTCAGGAGCAGCCCTCACTCGACTACTGGCTGCGCCCACGCTGGGCCGGCAGGAGCTCGGCCGCACGGACTGAGCGGCTCGGAGAGGAATCAAGAGCCTGAGCCTCTGGTCACTCGGACCCTGGGGTGGTGCCCGGGGCCTCTGCTGACCACAGGGACTGCAATGCCACTTCCTGCGCTCGTTTCAGTGAAGTGTGTTTGCAGTTAAAGCCCAAGCAGTGCGGCTGCCCTCGGATGCGATGTGCGCTCAAGTGCGCCAGCGACCTCGTGGGCTAGGAGGCCGCCTCCCGACACCCGCTCCTTCTCCTGGGTCGTCACCACCCACAGTACACACTCTCCTTATGCACCTTCCTCACGTCCTCCTCAGAACCAACGCCCAGCAGGCCCCTCCCCGCGCCTTGCCCCTCGCCGCGACCCGGACAATGGGGCAGGCCGCAGGCGCCAACGAACGCTTGCTGAGTGAATGCACGGCAGCCTCCGCCACAGGCCCTGCCAGCAGTCGTGTTCTCCGTTTTATGTGGAAGGTGGCCCTGGTGTCAAGTGTGACAAGCCTGCCGTCCCTCCCATGCAGCCCATGTCCTGAAACTTTGCTCTCAACTGCCCGCAAGCACATGTGCACACGGGTGGGAGCCGGACCATCCTGTTTTAGGTAATGAGTGTGCCTGACTGTGGGTCATAGTCAGACGTGTGGAAAACAGTCTCCTCCTCCTGGCCAGTGAGGCCTCAGGGACAGTAAGTCACCAGTTCTGGGCAGCGGGGCCTCGGGGAGTGGCCAGTGAGGCCTCAGGGACAGTAAGTCACCAGTTCTGGGCAGCGGGGGCTTGGGGAGTGGCCAGGGAGGCCTCAGGGACAGTAAGTCACCAGTTCTGGGCAGCGGGGGCTTGGGGAGTGGCCAGGGAGGCCTCAGGGACAGTAAGTCACCAGTTCTGGGCAGCGGGGCCTCGGGGAGTGGCCAGGGAGGCCTCAGGGACAGTAAGTCACCAGTTCTGGGCAGCGGGGCCTCGGGGAGTGGCCAGGGAGGCCTCAGGGACAGTAAGTCACCAGTTCTGGGCAGCGGGGCCTCGGGGACAGTAAGTCACTAGTTCTGGGCAGCGGGGCCTCGGGGAGTGGCCAGGGAGGCCTCAGGGACAGTAAGTCACCAGTTCTGGGCAGCGGGGCCTCAGGGACAGTAAGTCACTAGTTCTGGGCAGCGGGGCCTTGGGGAGTGGCCAGGGAGGCCTCAGGGACAGTAAGTCACCAGTTCTGGGCAGCGGGGCCTTGGGGAGTGGCCACTGGCGGCTTCGGGGAAGGTTTTCCCTTGCTCGTGAGATCAGGAAGCCCCTCCCCTGCTGGCTGGGACAAGGCAGACGCTGCTGCTGGTCAGCATCCTGTGACCGTGAGGAACTCCAGCCGACAGCATTCAAGGAGGGCAAGACCAGAGAATCCACCTTCCCTGCCTGAGCCCCTGGGGCAGGGGCGGTCCTAGCACTGCTGCCCCAGGCGCCCACCCCTCATCTAACGGTGCTGCCCCCCACAGGAGAGGGACGTGCTTCTACACTGTCTGAGTGTTCTCCCACACATGCCGAGCGCTGGCGGAGCGGGCGCTGGCGGAGCGGGGGCATGGACGGTGCCCGCACCTGGGATCCTGGCCGCTGACACGAGGCACTGGGTGGGGCAGACCCTGGACTCACCGGCTCTGCGGAGGGATGAGCGTGTCGCGCACGTGCAGGATGCCCACGTACGGGTAGCGCTCCATGTCCTGCTCCCAGTCCACGTAGTGGTCCTGGACCACATCTGCAGGACAGAGGGCACAGGTTAGGGCCAGGACTCCTGGCGGAGGCCGGCAGCCTTCCCCCGGGCCACACACCTATAATCTTCTTCACCATCTCATACATGGCCTGCTCCTCCTCTTCTAACTTGCGCCACCGATATTTCAGGAAGATCAGGAGTCCCCACAGAAAGGCCAAGCCTGCGCGGAACAGAGCACCGTTAAAGGCTGACATCGCCCCAACGCTCAGACCTCCCTGGGTCTCCCCACAGGCCGGGCGCTGCGTGGGGGCTGTGGGTGATCAAATGTGTTCTGAGTTCCTACTATGTGGTGGGCCCAGGGCTAGCATGCGGGAAACAAAGGATACAGGAATGCACAGGGAGGACAGGCTAGTCAGTGAGCCTCCCTCCCTGCCAGCTGCCACTCAGGCCCCTCCACCGTCCAGAACGCAGCTCCTTCCCGTCACTCGTCACCCCCCGCCAGGGCTGTCGGAGAGGGGCTGGGGCGGCACCGTGTGCGAGCACTTACACCAGAAGAAGATGAGCACGTGGGTGACGGCGGTGAGCAGGGCCCGGCTCAGGCGGCAGCCCACACCCATGCGGGGGCGGGCGGACTCCAAGCAGACCACCTTGTCCACGGTTGTCACCAATTCAGATGGGTCTTCCCCTTTCAAACTGAAACAGGACACGGGTTGTAAACGCGTCCAAGAGCTCCGAGGAGCTGCAGTCTATGCCCCACTTTAAGCAGGAGGAGGAGGAAGAGGGGCTGCGAGGCCTCTCCTTGCTGTGAGACAGACATACCCCGGCTGCACTCTTCCCGGAAATCCCCGCGCTGGCTACTTAGGAGGAATAAAGCTGTCCAGAGGCAGCAGGCTCGAACCCCAGCCACTAAAGTGGCTCCCCTGCTGGGCCTCTGACAGGCCATCGGCTTGTGGAGGGTTAACTATAAACTGGATCCCCTCCCAGCAGAGAGCAGTAGAAATGTTTACTGAGTGGCCGTCTTGCCCTGCAAGGTAGAAACGGAAGGACGTGTGTCTGGGAGAGCGTGCCCTTCCTCGGGGTTGAGGAGGCACAGAAGGTGCTTCAGGAAGAGATCAGGAGGTGCCTGGAGGCCAGGCCCCAGCGCAGCGCCTCCGCCCTGGTTCCTGCAAGAAGGTGCCAGCACCCGCGGGACACCGACAGCCACACCTCTGGGTGGCGAGCCCATGCGCTGGCTCACACCTGAGTGGCTGGTCCCTGAAGTGTCCCGGTTTCTTGTGACCACTTTTCCCCCTGGCCGTCTGAGCCGGCTCGGCCACCGCCCCCATATGAGGAGGCCCGTGTCGCGGCTCAGTGCCTCCAGTCCCCCGCCTTTTCTAACAGGGATCGCCAGCTGCTCAGGGAGGCTTTGTTTCGTAAGCCAGGGCATTTCAGTGGGGCCTGTGTCCAGCTTGCAGGCTCAGGCTGAGCTGCTCGGCTCCCCTGGGTGCACAGCTGAGGGAATGCGTAATTTGGTAGATCAGAGAGGAAGAGAACAAAACCCGAGTGTGTTTTAGCATCAGGAGCTGTAACCGCAACAGAGCCCCTGACGAACCCTGAGAAACGGGAGCGGGGTGATGAGGCGAATGCTTCTCTGGAGGGAGACTCCAGGTGTCCAGCGTCAGCCAGAGCCCCACCCCCGCCCGTCCCCTGGGGCCTCTCAGGAAGGCGAAAGGCTTGCTGTCTGCTAACGGCGCTCACCAGAGAGCAATGAGGCGCAACTACCCAGTCAGAATAAAATCCAGCATTTCCTTGTGCAATTGCCATACCGAGTGAAACCAACACACAGAATCATCTCATCTGCAAATAAAAACTAGCCCCGAGGAAAGGCGCATAGAAAGCTGCCTTCGCCAGAAAACCGCGCAGAGCCGGATGGCAAGGCGCAGACCTGGCACCTGCTCTGTGTCTGCCCTGGAACTGCTCCTTGCCCTCATTCCTGCTGCTCTTCCTTCTCCACCAGCTTTCAGCCCAGCCCACACAGCACGGGCAGACCCGCCCTCCACCCTCAGACGGGCACCCGTGGGAAGCTAGGAAGTCGGCTGATGGGCACCCCACCACACTCACCAGATGCCCACGTCCTTGTTGCTGCTTAGTATCCAGGTCAGTGCGGCTTCAAACTTGGCGGTGGAGCTGCCGGTCACATTCTGTGGGAGGGGCGGGAGATCAGCTCTGGTCTGGGCAGAGCAGCTAGGCAGCATTACTCTGCTGCTGGGTTACGGAAGTCCTCTCCCAGGTCCTCTGCACGTCTCACAGCCCTGCTCTGCTCAACGCGCAGCAAACTGGCAGGAGGGAAGTCTGAGGCTGGTGAGAGCCGAGTCAGGGGCTATAACGGGAGGGGGCGATGCGGAAGCACACGCGGGAAAGCAATGCGGGGCTGAGGCAGCCGAAAGGACTGAAGCCAGCCAGGTGGCAGCTCCTCTTGGGTAAAATGAAAAAGCGGGGGGTGAGGGGCCCAGCAACGTGGCCTGGGGCAAGCCTCTGCCCCTCCCTGGGCCTCAGTTTCTTCCCCTGTGAGGCGAAAACTGGACTAGGTGACCATGTCCCTGCCAGCTCCGTATATCCCCAATTCTACCATCCTGAGGCCGTGCGGAAAGTCAAATGGACCCCAGACAATCCACACAGCACACAAGGGGGGAGAAGGGCGGGCGACACATGCATCCTTAAAGCTGCTGAGAAGGGGAGAAGGGGCAGCTGCTGTGGCCTGCACGCTGGGCAGCAGGGAGCCACGCACACACCGCAGGCCTGCTCCGGCTCACAGCTCACCTTGGGCCCAGTCACCCCCCCCCGCCCCCCCGGTGTTGCCTTAACCTAAGGTAGCCTAGCACTCAACTAAGGCAAAAAAAAAAGGGAGGAGGGGCAAGAAAGCAAAAAAACCAAAATCACATACACACGAAAACCAAACCAAAACAAACACGAAACAAAATAAAAAGGGGAAGAAAAGTAAACGCAGGGTCTGAAAATCAACCCCAAAGCACCAGGCCCTCCCGGCGGCGGGCGCCACCCTACTTACTGCTACGTACTCCTGGGCTTCTGCTACAGGGATGCACTTGCTTTTTAGCTTCTCTGGATTCCCACATTCAAAGTTCCCTGGGAGGAAAAACATTCAAACACAGGGAAGATGAAAAGATGACTCTGAAACAGACGACAAAATGCAGCAAGAACCAAGCCCTCCGCTCTGAGCGGGAGCATGCGGCCTGGCGCTCCGGCTTCTGGGGCATCCTCACTCTGCAGCAAGATCAAAAGCCACTTAGCTTGGATCGATTCCAGATCATTAAACCTGACCTGCAAAGCAGTGCGGTGATTTGAATTAAATGACTAAAAAGCTGCCCAATACCAAGTCTGTTTGCAATTGATCCCTAACAGGATCAGACAGATAGCTTTGGAATGTACCGGATGGTGCTATACACACACACACAGCCTGGGAGGAAGAAAGGCAGGGATTCTGACAGATACAGGCCGGTGACCTGGAATGCCAGGCCCACTGTGTGAGGGGTCGTGGGACGATGCCCGCATGCCCCGTGGAGGAAGGGGGCGTCTGCGGCTGGACAGCGGGGCCTCAGCAGGGCTCCAAAGCTCCCTTCTAAGTAGCCGAGGTGGCCAGCTCCCGCCTCGGACGGAGCTGGGAGCCTCCCCCGAGTCCTGCCAGCCTTTCTCGTCCCGCCCAAAGGCCACCTCCTCTGAAAAGCCCCCAGCCTGCGGGGACCTCTTGTTCGGCCAGATTGCTCCGAACTCGGGGGCTGCCACACCTCTTGGCTTTCAATGCCGCTGTGGTTCATAGAGCCCTCGAGCCGGGACAATGCAGGGCAGGGCACGTAAAGATCCTTCACTCTCCACATGGTGTGAATGTCCTTCACCTGGCACAGCTGGGCTTCAAATGGCCGGCGTGCGTGCGTGCGTGTGTGTGTGTGTGCGCGCGCGCGCTGGGGAAGGAGTGGCTGAAGGTAATATTAAAAATCTTGAGGATGAACTGAAGCCCGTCCTTCCTACTTCAAAGTTGATCTTGACCCTCTAGGTCGTCTGGGACCAAGCTGGCTTCTCCCATCCTCCTGCCTCCACTCAGGCCACCCTCCCTGGACCATGGCCAGGCCCCGACTGGTTTCCTCCGCCTCCCTTCTCATTCACATGTTTTAAAGCTTTAAAATAAGACGACTCCACTTAAGCTGCTGCCACTTTTGCCTTCTTGGCACCTGCTCTCGGCATGTCACTTCCCTACGCAAAAGCCTCTGGGCCTCACTGCCCACAACATTAAGCCCCGGTGGCCTGGCATCTGTGGGACCCAACTGACCTTTCCAAACTCCACTCCCTGTTTCTCCTTCCCTCATGAAGCCGTTCCCATCCTGACTCTGTAATCTCCAGCCCTGTTGGCCCCACCTCCCCCCACACATACAAAACCCATCCTCCTGGACTTCAGGGCCTCCCATGACCCTTTCCTGACTGTTCTAGCTAAACGGCATCGTGCCTCTCGGGACCTCTGGCCCTCAGCTCTCCTCCAACAGCATCCTATATCACCCAGTGGTCAGGGAGGTAGGTGGCTTGCGGCAGGCCCCTGAACCCATCTTGCATCCTACAGTGCCCTGGCCAGAGGGGACTCCACAGGGGGGAAAGGAGAGTGGCCCAGCAGAGAGCACGCACTCCCCAGCAGCTGCCTCCATGAGATGCATGCTCGCAGGACTGCCCCTGCAAGGCTTGTCAGAGGACAGCGGGAGCCAGGCCCCTTGATGGCGTAATGAGGACCACATGTGGAGGTGGAGGGGGAGAAATGGCTACTAGGATTCACCGTTTAAGAGCGGAGCATCTCAACTTTATCCCCTGGGGTCTTATTAAAACACAGGCTTTGATTCAGTAGGTTTGGGATGGGACCTGAGATTCTGCATTTCCAATAAGCTCCCAGCTGCTGCTGCTGCTGCTTGGACCACAATCGAGTCACAAACGTTTAGAACTCCCTCGTGGGCCAGAATGTATATCCCAAGCACCTGGGCCACGGGGAAATACCCATAGGACCGCTCCTCCCAGGAGCGCAGACGCTCCCCGACCACCCCGTCTCCCACAAGTAGGAGGGAGGAGGTGGCAGAGCTGAGGCCCACAAGCTTGGCCTTGAGGACTGAGGGCCCAGTCCACCAAACCTGTCTCCCCAGCAATGGCCAAAGGTTGTCCCGTAGCTAAGAGGTGCCTCCTGAACATCCCACAAGACTGACCAGCTCCATCTGGCTCTCGTGCCAAGTATATTTAACTCGGCACCAGCCCATTCGCCTATGCCAGTGGTCGGCAAACCATGGCTCGTGAGCCACACTTAAGGGGCCAAAGAGCTGCATGTGGCTCGTGAGCCGCAGTTTGCCGACCACTGGCCTATGCCATCAGCAAGTGATTCTGAGCCTCCCTAGACGCCAGGTGTGGGAAGGACACAATGCAGGCGACATCTCTAGCCTTGAGGACTGTTTACCAAATAAAACAGCAGGGGAGCCTGGATGGATGAGTGTTCAGGGTCTTTCCCAGGGTGCGGAGAGTGCTCCTCTGGGGGACAGCACTTGGCTTTCATGTTATAAAGAGAAGAGAACCCTGGCTGATGCGATTCAGCTGGCTGAGTGCTGTCCCGTGCACTGAGAGGTCGCCAGTTCGAGTCCCAGTCAGGGCAATGCCTGGGTTGTGGGCTCGATCCCTAGTAGGGGGCGTGCAGGCAGCAGCCGATCCATGCTTCTCTCTCGTCAATATTTCTATCTCTCTCCCTCTCCCTTCCCTTCTCTCTAAAATCAATTACCCCCCCACACACACATTTAAAAATAGAAAAGAGAGACCCAAGATCACTCAGTAACAGGGAGATGGAGGCCCCGAGACTACCTGAGACTAAAAGGGACTTGTCCAAGGTCCTGAGCCAGCTAGGGCGACCGGGACCGGACGTGACACCAGGGCCTTGGCAGCTGGACGGGCCTGAGTGTGCTCAGCCCACCACGGACCCGTCACCTGCACGGGCCTCTCCGCCTACCCTGGCCAACCACCTGGTGCAGGCAGGCCTCCAGGTGCAAGCACCCAGACGCTGAGACCCAGGGCCTGTCCCCTCACCCCGCCAGTGAAACAGGGAGCCCCGAAGCCTGAGGTGGGGCTTATCCAGAGAAAGGCCTGTGCATGTTCCAGGAGCCCTGAGACCCTCAACAGGAGGTGAGGACCAAATGGTTTTGCCCAAATGCGAGGCTTAAACAAACGTCAGAGGGGAAGCAGGAACTGGTTTCTGAGTGTCTTCTGGGCGGAGACCACAGCACGCCCCGGCCATCGGCCCACGAGCGGCTCGTGAGGATCTGGGCCTGGAGAACTACTCACCAGCTTGGATGGCCAGGAAGTTGTAGAGTTCGTGCAGCAGCTCCAGCAAGGCCGCCTTCTGCTTGGCCTGACAGAACTGAGAGGACAGGACAAGCGGTCAGCAGGGCGGTGGGCAAGGAGGCAGTGTGGCTCTACCTTGTCAGCCGCGCTGTCAAGTACTAAGCAGTAAGCAACACCTCATACTTTTAAAAACTAAAAACCAATTCTGCAAAATGGTGGGCCCAGGGACAGGGCCAATACATGTGGGGCTGAGTGAGTGCAGGGCAGAGTGAAGGCACAGTCACTAAGGGCTGCCATCCTGGAGGCCCCCGCCCTTCCCCGGTGCCGAAGGAGTAACGGCCACTAGTGGGGCCGAGGAGCAGAGGCAAGGCTGCTGTGGGAAATGAGCGCTGTAGTCCCGGGAAGCTACCCACGCTGCGTCCTCTCCCCCTGGGGCCACTCCCACCCGTGGTGGAGACTCAAGTGTCTACAATCTGCCCATCGACTGTCTGTCTTGTGGAGTATCTGCTGCAAAAAGTAAAATTCCTAGAAACCTTTGAAGTCATAGGGGAGAAAAGCCATCTGCATGAGAAAATGGGAGCAGGAACACATGCAGACCTAGCCCTCCAGCCCTGTAACATTGAGGCCATCTTGCTAGACTCATGGTTGCTCTCCTCGATGGACCGAGAGCCAGGTGCTGTGCGGAGTGGTTATATGTGAGTGCGCACTGAATTGTCACCACACTCCTTACTGTACCCCAATTTCTCAGATGGGGAGCCTGAGGCTCAGAGACCTTAGGTAAGCCACCAAGGTCCCACAGCTCATGAGAGGTGGGGTCAGGCCAGCCGACACCACGCCCCACACTTCAGGCCGCCTCTGGTGTCACTGGGCAAAGCCCTGGACTTTGAGCCGAGAGCCTGGGGCCTGGCCCCACAACTACAGAAGGAACTGACGTGGCCTTCCTCCCAGGCTCATCAGCTGCCTCACCTGAATGGGAGGGACCTGGTGTCCAAAACTCTCAGAGGCAAGATGTGTCCCCTCACGCTGCCTAAAGACCCAGAGCCTTTGCAGTACACACGACCACAATGGTCAGAAACAACTCATGTGGCTTCTAGTGAGTTAGGTACCCAAACTACTTTAAAGAACATTTTATGTGTGGGAAATGGTGAGATAAGGGTTAAAGCTAACTAAATATACGCCAAGAATCCAAGTCTATAGACACACATACGGAGATAAGATGGGAAGATCCCCAAACGTTAACAGTAATTATCTCCAGGTGGCAGAGTCATGGTGACTTTCCTTTTCAAACGTTCTACACTAACATCTTTTACTGTCACTCCAGGAAATCGGCAGTAACAAGGACCACTGCTGCACGTCGCCAACATCCAGGCGAGCAGGCTGATGCCACCGAAAGGAAACAGGACACAAGGTCCCAGCCAGCAGGACAGCTGATACAACAACACGCCTGCTCTCAGCCTGTGCCCATGTTTTCCGTAGCAAAAAGGCAGAAAGAAAATACAGTGTCAAGTCCGCTGAGAAGGGAAAGGAACACAAATGCCCTGCTGGGTCCCGGGTGAGCCGGAGCCACACACAGAATGAGACTTTCAGCAAGAGCCTCAGCAGAGCCGACGTGCCTCCCAACCTGCCTGTTCCCAGGAAGGCCAAGGGCACCCCATGAACTCTCAGCTCCACGGAGCCCAGGCTGGGGGCCCAGACGCTGGCCTTCCAGGCGCCAAGGTTCCCGGCACAGTTGGCTGGCTGGGCACACCTTTAGCAAGGCCCTGGGTTGCACCTGTTTGCTCAGAGGAGGGCCAGGGAACGAAGGGAACGAATCTGTCCCTCAGCCGTAGGCCTGATCCATTTAGAGACGTGAAGGGTCAAGCAACAGAAGCCAGGGAGATGTTTCTAATTAAAAGACAACAAATGAGCATCACCAGAGAAGTCTCACAGAAAGCTCCTGTTTTCCTATTTCGGTTTTTAGTCTTCAAAATTCTAGTCCCTCCTCTAGCTGCTGCCTACCTTTCTGGGCTCCTCCTCTAGTCATCAGTCGTGGTTTTTATGATGGAAGATGAAACTTACTATGAATATGTTTCTACAAAACAACTGGGAAGCAAGGATATTTGGTGGATGAATGCAATACATGAATGTAAATAAACCCCCAAAAGTTCAAATAGGACACAGCACAAGCCAAGAGAAACCAGGATGGCCTTCAGAATGTGGGTAAGCGTCAGCGCAGGGGCGTAGTGGGGGGGTGGGGGGTGGCCAGCTGTGAGCGGAGTGGGAGCCCTGCTGCAGGCTTAGTTAGGAGACTGCTCCTCCGGCTGGGACTTAGGGCTTTCCCCAGACGGCCACCTCTCAGCACCCACTCCTCATGCACGCCCCCTTCACAGTGGACGGCTGCTCACCGTCCCCCAATACTATTTGTAGGGAACATTAAGGCTTCATAAAACGAATCTATAGATGAAGAGGGCCAATTCCACTTCAAATGTGTTCCAAACACCCCCTCCCCACGTCTCAAATCAGAAGGGCATTTTCAGAGCCACAAAAGCACTCCTGGAGGGAAGGGGAAATGACAACACGGCCTCCTGTCGGTTAGGAACCTCCGGCCCTTCCTCCGGGGCAGGGAGCACAGGCCCTTCACCGCCGGCCGCGTCCCCCTGGATGGACCGCGCAGGGGACCCACGTCCCAGGCGCTACGAACAGAGGGGGCCGCACCCAGACAGGCGTGGACATCACGCCAGGGCTCCCGAAAGGACCGCAGACGTGCTGGGGAGGAACGACAGAGAAACACTCACCTCATCGTTTTTCCTCTCGCAGTCCACTGGCAACAATTTCACTGAGACCAGAAAGAAACAGAAAATTAAAGTGGGGCTGCGGAAAGGAATACCCACAGGACCCTCTCAAAATCCAGGGAGTGAACCGCGGCCAGCCTCCGGGGGGTGGGGGGTGCGGGGGAAAGCTGTCGGCTGACCGATGCACTCTAACGTGCAGGCAGCAAAATGCAAGGGACTGGGAACGGCAGCGGGTCTGGGGGGCTCCGGGCGACTGGACCCCGCTCCTCAGCGGGAGCAGGATCCATGAGCCGTCCTGGCCTGACGGGGAGAGACCTCAAAGGAGGCAACGTCCGCGACAGTCTATAAACTGTGAGCGATGACATGCTGAACAGGGACGCGCACCATCAGGGGAGGGAACTCCGGGAACCCGGGATAGGCCAGCGCTGGCTGCCGTCCCAGCAGGAAGTCTGTGCCCGGCCTGCGGGTCGCCGCGGGGGGTCAGCCAGGAATTGAGCGCGTGCCCAGTCCGGGGTCCCCTGGGGTCCCCGTGTCCACACCCACGCGGAAAGGTGTGGCCTCGGACAGCCCCCTTGGCAAAGAACAGCCCCTGCGGTGAACAGTGCCACTTCCTATCGGCTCCGGCAGACGCGCGCTCTGCGCTGTCCGGTCCGGTCGGGCAGCTCCGGGCCGGCGGCGCCTGTGCCTCCAGGGCGCTCCCCTCCCACCCGGGCGCCCGGCCTGCAGACCTTGCGGCCGGCTCACCGCGCCCAGCGCGGGCAGGAGCGTGGCTGGGGGTCCCTGAACCTCAGGACCCTCCTGACCCTCCGAGGCCCTGCGGCCACGGCAAGGCCCCCTTCCCGCAGGCACCCAGGAGGTCCCGCACACCCGCCACACGGGCCCCCACGAAGCGGGCACACGGTCACTGGTGCCTGGACCCGCCAGGCCCGCCTGCGGGCTGAGACCTGAGACTGAGAGGGAGGGGGCGTGTGCCTGCGGGGCGCGGCCTTTTCCGGGGGAGAAGGCGGAGGGGGTCGGAGGGCGGGCCGGGCAGCGGGGAGAGCGGGCTGCGAGGCCGGGAACGGCCGCCCACTCGGGCCCTGGCCGCCCCCCACCGCGGGGTCCCGTCGGGAGGTGCGCCCGACCCGCGGCCGCGCCGGCCTGCGCCCACGTACTGTGGTCCTCCGCCTCGCGCGGCGCCGAGGGCCGGCCCATCTTCGCCCAGAGGATGCCCAGGAAGACGAAGAGCAGCCCCAGGCTCGCCCAGAGCAGCAGCCGCGACAGGCAGCGCTCCAGCCGCCGCCCCGCCTCGGGCCGGGCCTGCGCCGCGCCCGCCGCGCCCGCTCGCGTGGCCCGCAGGCCGGGGCGCGGGTCGGGGCCGAGGGCGGGGGGCGGCCGGGCCGGGGCCCACCAGCGACGGGCCCGGGGGCCAGGCCGGTCGGGCGCCCGGGCGTCATCGTCGTCCTCGGAGCTGCCCCGGACCGAGGCGCGGCGCCGGAGGGGCGCGGGGCGGGCGGCGGGGGCGGGGTCGCGGCTCGCGGACCAGGCGGCCGCGGGCGCCCCGAGGTCCCCGTAGGCGCCGGCGGTAGCGAAAGCCGAGCTCGGGGCGAGCGGGGACGGCCAGGGCTCCGCCCGCAGAGCGGCCGCGGCCGGCCGGGCGCGCAGCGGGGCCTCCGCCCGCAGCCGCTCCTCGCCCCGCGGCCGGGCCTCCTCGCGCAGCCGGACGGCGCCCCGCAGGTGGCGCAGCTTCTTGCGGTAGACGTCCCGGGTGGTGTCGGTGATGGGGCCGGGCTGGAAGCCCAGGGCCTGCAGCTCCCGCCGCAGCTCCGGGTCTGACAGGCCGGCCATGGCCCCAGCCGCCCCGGCATGCACCGCGCCCGGAACTGCTCCCGCCGCCGGGCCGACCGGAAGGGCCCGCGCCATGAGGGGAAGGTCGCCGGGCGCCATGTTGAGAAGGTGGGAGGGGCCGCCATGATGAGGAGGTCATCTCACATATGGCCGCCTTGATGGGCCCGCGCCATGATGGGGAGGTCGCCGGGCGCCATGTTGAGAAGGGACGCGTGTGGTCGCCATGGTGAGGAGGTCGTTTTCACACAGGGGAGGTCCTAGGCCAGTGGTTCTCAACCTTCTGTTCCTTTAATACAGTTCCTCATGTTGTGGTGACCCCCAACCATAAAATTATTTTCGTTGCTACTTCATCACTGTAATGTTGCTACTGTTATGAATCGTAGTGTAAATATCTGATATGCAGGATGTATTTTCATTGTTATAAATTAAACATAATTAAAGCATAGTGATTAATCACAAAAACAATATGTAATTATATATTCAACTAGAAGCCCAGTGCACAAAAATTTGTGCACTGTCAGGAGGGTGTCCCTCAGCCCAACCTGTGCCCTATCACTGTCTGGGACCCCGGTCGCAGATGGCACGCCCGATCCTGCACTGGGGTGGGTGGCCACTCGGATTGTGCTGCCGCCCGCCCCGCCAGCCCCACCCAACCCACCCCACACATGGCAGGCCAGGATCTCACTCTGGGGCGGCCAGCGGCTGGGGATCGCGCTGCCGCCAGCCCCAGGTGGGGCAGAGCAGCAGGATCTGCCTCCAGTATGCAAATTAGCCACCATCTTTGTTGGTGGCTAATTTGCATATTGCGCTGATTAGCCAATGGGAGGTGGAGCGAAGGTAGGTCAATTACCATGTTTGTGTATTATTAGATAGGACTAGAGGCCTGGTGCACAAAAATTTGTGCACTCGGGTGGGGGAAGGGGGTCTCTCAGCCTGGCCTGTGCCCTCTTGCAGTCTGGGACCCCTCTGGAGATAACGCCCTGCTGGCTTAGGCCTGCTCCCGGGTGGCAGAGGGCAGGCCCAATCCCTAGGTGCAGCCCCTGGTCGGGCTCAGAGCAGGGCCGACTGGGGAGTTGGGGCGCCGCCCCCTGTCATGCACAGAGCAGGGTGGATCGGGAGGTTGCCATGCCACCCTCAGGCATGCTCAGGGTACGGCCCATTGGGGGGTTGGGGCGCTGCCCCCTGTCACACACAGAGCAGGGCCCATCAGAGGGGTTGGGGCTCCGTACCCTGTCACATACAGAGCAGGGCCCATCAGGGGGTTGGGGAGCTCCCCCCTGTCACACACAGAGTAGGGCCGATAGGGGAGTTGGGGCACCGCCCCCTGTCACACACAGAGCAGGGCGGATCAGGGGGCTGGGGCGCCGCCACTGTCACACTCAGGGCAGGGCTGATCAGGGGGTTGGGGCGCCGCACCCTGTCACACACAGAGCAGGGCCGATCAGGGGGTTGGGGCGCCACACCCTGTCACACACAGAGCTGCAGGGTGATCAGGGGCTTGGGGCACCTTCCCCTGTCATGAACAGAGCAGGGCAGATAGGGAGGTTGTGGCCCCGCCCCCTGTCACACACAGAGCCGCAGGGTGATCAGGGGGTTTGGGCGCTGCCCCCTGTCACGCTGATCCCGGTGCTGGGAGGCATATTACCCTTTTACTATATAGAATAGAGGCCTGGTGCACGGGTGGGGCCGGCTGGTTTGCCCTGAAGGGTGTCCTGGATCAGGTGGGGGTCCCGCTTGGGTGCCTGGCCAGCCTGGGTGAGGGGATGATGGCTGTTTGCAGCTGGTCACACACCCTTCAGGGTGGGGGTCCCCACTGGGGTGCCTGGCCAGCCTGAGTGAGGGGCTGAGGGCCGTTTTCAGGCTGGCGGGTCTGAAGCTCCCAACCTGTCCTTTTTTCCTTTTTTTTTATTCTGGGCCAGCTTTAGCTCTGAGGCTCGGCTCCAGCTATGAGACCTCTGCTGCTGAAAGCAGGTTTCTGGCCTTTGTTTACCTTCTGTATTTGAAACAATGTTGCAGTCCTGCTGGCTGAAGCCAGGGGTTTTGTTTAGCTTCTATATTTGTTACAATGTTGCTTAGAGTGCAGCTGAGAGGTCGGCAAGGCAGGTGGGGAAGCTTGGCTTCCTCCATCACTGAAGCAAGCAAGCCTCCCTGTTTGCGTCAGCTGCCTGGCTGCTGGCTGCCATCTTGGCTGGCAGTTAATTTGCATATCGCCCTGATTAGCCAATGGGAAGGGTAGCGGTTGTATGCTAATTACTATGTTTCTCTTTTATTAGATAGGATATGTGTTTTCTGATGGTCTTAGGCGACCCCTGTGAAAAAGTCATTCGACCCCCAAAGGGGTCGCGACCCACAGGTTGAGAACCACTGTCCTAGGCCCTAGGGGTTTTTTTTTTTTCTTCCTTTTTCCCCTCCTTGCTTAGTTCCAAGGTGTTAATGTCTGAATCTTCCACCCCTTGCACAGCCCCTGATATGCTGGGCACTAAGAGAGCCATGTTGGTTTTTAATGATTTTAGAGAGGAAAAGAGAGAGAGAAACATTGGCTGATTCTTGTGTGTGCCCTGACCCGGAATGAAACCCATGACCCCGGGGTATAGCGACCCTGGCGGGGCCTCAGCCATAGCGGGCGGGCTGCTCGGGGAGAGGCAAGCCTTCCTGGCAGGCCCTTCCCTCCTGCTTGAGGCCGGACTCGCTCCCTTTGCTCAGGGAAGGGCTGACTGGGGCCTGAGTGGACCCCTTGGCAAGGAGGCCGGCTGCCCCGGGGCGAGGCCTCAGGCTGCTTTCCTGCCCGCGGGCACCCACGGAGGGTGAGTGGCAGTGGGGCCCGGGGGGAGGCTGTGCCAGGGTGGCAGGGTCTTCTCCGGAGAGGGGGGCTCGGGGGGCCAGGGCAGGGGTCCTGGGGGCACCGCTCTGCCCTGTGTGATCACATCCGGGAGAGTGGGGCTCAGGGGGCCAGGGCAGGGATCTTGGGGGCACCGCTCTCCATGTGATCACATCCAGGAGAGGGGGACTTGGGGGGCCAGGGCAGGGATCCCGGGGGCACCGCTCTCTGTGTGATCACATCCAGGAGAGGGGGGCTCGGGTGGGCCAGGGCAGGGATCCCGGGGGCACCGCTCTCCCTATGATCGCATCCGGGGAGCTGTCGGCCTGTAGTTGGGAACCTTGGCTTTCGGAGGATGAGGCGAGGCAAGGTGGTTTGTATCGGTGCCTAGCACGGTGCCCCTTGGTGTTGGTACTGGACCCGCACACCCCGCCGCCGTGTAACCCCACAGGGCCGCTCTCAGTGAGGAAGCCCGAGGGGGCCTGGGGGGAGTGGCAACTGGAAACGGAGCTACGGCTCCTAGTCTTCCCTGCCTCCCTCTCCCTCTATTCCTTCCACAGCCCATCAACTGCCTTCCCCAAACATACCGCAGGCCTTCTGGGTCCCAGCCCATGTCTACGTCCAATTCAGCCCCCCTTCCCCTGCTCCCCTGCCCGCGGTCCACTTGCCCACCCCCACCTCATGCCTCCTGGCCCCTCCCAGTCTGGTCTGTGGGCAAGGCCCCTCTGCCCGTGGTCTGCATGCCCGCCCTTGCTCCCCCCAGGGGTGCTCGACCCTGGCCACATGGGGGGGTTACAGCCTCGGCTGGTCAGACTTCCGTCCCTCGCCCCCCGCCTCCCGCCCCCCGCCCCCCGCCTCCCGCCCCCCGCCTCCCGCCTCCCGACTCAGCTGCTCCCAGGCGGCGCCTTCTCTCACCAAGTGCTGTTTTCCTCTCCCTGCCTGTGTTTGCACCGAATGCCATGAATTTGATATAGTGATTGCCTAACACAAATACCACACAATAGTATTTTATTTCTTTCTGAAGCGCTGTTTGCATGACAGATGAGTTGGTCACACTCGTGCACCTGCTCACGGCTGTGCTGTTCCGTGTGTAAAGAACGAGCCTTCGGGCGGCACTGGCCTGCGTACTGAGGGGGCCTGAGACGGATGCTTACCACAGTCACAGCGCTGCAGAGATGCGGTCCATTTCATCACAGTGACTCTCGGGGCGATTTGAAGATACGAACAGAGCTGGAGCCACTTGGCGCGGGCCCCAGTGTGGGCTTCTCGGTTTGTCAGCCTTCCTTTGGTTCAGGACGCTGCTGCCTCCCACACCTAAGGCCAAGTGACCCTCCCCTCCCCCCCTCCTCCCTGCCTCCCTCTGGCCTGGAGCCCTCATGTTCCCAGCAGCGCCACCATCCCCCACGGTGCACCCTCCGGCCTCCATGCGGCCCTGGCAGCCCCGGCCTGGCCTGCGGGCCCTGCAAGCCTTTGGTGAGGCCGTGTGCCACCACCTGGGGCACGTTTGCCCATCAGTGTTTCCTCCCCCTGCGAGAAGAAACCTCACCATCTTACTGAGCAATCAGCCCCTCCTCCCCGGCCTCCGCCTCTCCATTTTCCTTCTGACCTCTCGGCTCCAGTCCCGACCCTCCCGGGTTACTCACCCCTCTGGTCCTCCATCACCTGCTGCCCCCGGACGCTCTTCCCCTGCGTTAGTGAAGCCAGCTGGCTGCTGTGCTTACTCCTCCACACGGCTGGCCCCACTCCTTCCCTGAGCCTGCGTCCCCGCCAGGGCTGGCTCCCCGTTTCTTGGCCTCGCCACCTGGGGCCGCCAGGGGCCCGTGGGCTCTCTGATCTGCCTTCCTGTCTTCATGTGCCTCCTCAGCTGGGCCGGTCCAGCATGAGCAGCCATATTTTATTTTATTTTTAAATTTATTTTTATTGATTTCAGAGAGGAAGGTAGAGAGAGATAGAATCATCAATGATGAGAGAGAATCATTGATTGGCTGCCTCCTGCACGCCCCACACGGGATCGAGCCCGCAACCTGGGTATGTGCCCTGACTGGGAATCGAACCGTGGTCTCCTGGGTCATAGGTGGACGCTCCACCCCCAAGCCACGGCGCTGGGCTGGGCAGCCATATTTTACAGGAAAGGGTGATATTGCAAAGTAACAGCTGTCCCTGCGCTCTCCTCTCTCATCACTTTGCTGTGATTTCTTTAAGGCGAGCAGCTCGGGCTGCGATCCATCTTCCTATTAAAGACAGAAGAGGACAAACAAGCCCCAGTGTCTAAATCTGCTCGTACCCACAGCCACACAGCCAGCGGTGGCGGGGGCTGTGGGGGGGGGTCGCTCTGTGTTCCCAGGGGCCGCCCGCCCCCGCCCGCTGACCTCCCGCCTCAGCAGAGCCTGTGAGGATAGCAGCCATAAATCTTAGTGGGTTCTGCCCTCCTCCTCCTCCTCCTCCTCCTCCTCCTCCTCCTCCTCCTCCTCCCCAGCCCTGCTCGCATTTATCAGGTCCTTAAAGACGCTCGGGACCAGGGCCTTGTCCTTGATCGACCTCCTCGCGTCCCTCAGCTATTCTGGGCTTCCTTCAAACCCAGCGCGGAGGCGTCACTGGGCGGCGCGGGGACAGTGTGGCTGAGCAGGAGGGACTGGAAGGGCCCGCGCTGCCCTACATCTTGTTGCCTCTGCGTGTGGGAGTGAAAGGCCCTTTCTGTCTCTGGGTCAGTGATGGGCAGAGTCAGAGCAACCCCAGAATGGGTTTAACGGGCAGTTTGTCACCTGCTTTCCAGGTGACAAGGGAACAAAGCTCTCACTCTCCGGCCCCTCGCACTTTGCTGCCTGTGGGGCGGCGTTCCTGCCCAGGCGTGGGTACATCCGGGGTCAGGAACGGAGGCTGTGGGAAGAGAAATGTAACGCTTTCCAAACCGTTTCTCTTGGACTTTTTCCATGATTAGATTCTGCTAAATGACAGAGTACAGACACCAGGCAGTTCCTCTGCTTTTAACTGTCCAAGTTCACGGCAAGTCCACGTGGCTCAGGACTATAAAGTCACACGGATGTGGTTGCAGCGACGTGCCTCCTCGCCTGCACCTGTGCAGCCGGGTCAGGGTCCCTACCATCACCCGCGGTCCTGCCGCGTGCACCGTCCACTCCACTGGCAGACGGGCCATCTGTCGCTCTCCGGAATTGGAGAGAGCCCGCCGATGGTGCGGGTGGCCCTCAGCGAGCGAGAGGGAGGGCGGCGGCCACGCTCCTCGGGCCTCCCCACCTGACCCGGCGCCGCCCGGGCCCAGGCACCCGGAGCTTTCCCCTGGGGCGGGCCCCTTACTTCTCTTTTCAAGACACCGGGGGGCATATCCTCTGGGCTCAGCTCACAGAAGCCCCCCAGCCTTCCCCAATTTTAATCTCCCGGCTCTGCAGGCCCTGAAGCCCCTGCCCTGCTGTCCTAGAAACGGGAGGAGCTGGGAGGAGGGGTTATTGCCGATGGTGAGAAAGTGGACAGTGCGGGAGGAGGAAAGGGAAGAAAGGAGCCGGCACATCTGCACGGCCCTGGGCACAGCGCGTACAGAGGCCAGGTGGCAGCTCCTACCCAGCGCCCTCGGGGCCACGGGAGAGGGTCGCGGGGACAGGGTCGCGAGCGGCTGCTCCTGGGCTTTGTACAGGGCTGTTCCGCAGAGCAGGCGGCGCCCTCGCCCTCGCGCTCCCAGGGCTGCGCCTGCTGCCCCCGTTCCCATGTTCCCATCACAAATGGATGCAGACTCCCTGGGCGAACTCTCCTGGGGCCTCAGCTCTCTCCCGGCACCTATTCCAAGGCTGCTTTCCACCCCAGGATCCTAAAGAAGATTCCTCAGAGGGTGCTGGGGCCCCAGCCCAGAGATGGGCACCCCTGGTGGTGAGGGGGTGTGGCCCACTGCAGGGCAGGCCTGAGCAGCCGGGAGGAACCACGTGAAACCCGTTTCCCTGTGGGGAGACAGTGAGCAGCGGGAGGAACACGTGAAACCTGTTTTCCCCGTGGGGAGACACTGAGCACTTTGCTTCCTGCTTCTTGGTGTGAGTTATAGACGCTGCCGGCTGGCACGGCCCTTGGAGGCCAGGGGTCTTGGACTCAGCTCCTCCCAGTGCAGCTTTAAGGTTCCCGTGCCTCTTCCTCCTTTAGTTACCAGTGGGGAGTGCTCCTCGCCCTCCTCCCCCCGCCCCCTCCCGTGCTGCTAGAAGAAGCATTTCCAGAGGCCCACGGGAGGGTGCGGGACTGTAGAAAGCTTGTTTCTGTGAATCACCCTGAGTCTCCAAGGTCCATTTCCCTCTGTCCTGCCATGGGAGAGGTGAAGCTGTGGCTTCAGTCTGGCCGGAGTGACTGCGTTGTCCAAAGCTCCCGCCCCATGTGGGGGCGCAGTCCAGCCCAGCACCAGCTGGGTCCCAACTGCAGCTCATCAGACCGTTGTGTTTGGGGTCCACAGGGCACGTGGCTATGGAGGGAACACGGGCAGGAGCAAATCCAAAGGAACCAGAGAGTCAAGAGCCACGTCACCAAGAGCCCGGAGAGCCAGGTCGCCAAGAGCCTAGGGATTATGTATTCCCACGGCTGGCGTTGGCCCTCAGCTCTGTGCCCAGGGTGATGGACAGGCATCCTCCCCTGTCATCCAGCTTCACCATGCCTGTGTCCATCTCCCCGTAGTTGGGCCCCTTCCCCAGTGATCTGCGCGGACCTGGCCGTGGGCCGTGGGTCCCTGGGGTGTGAAATTGCAGCTTCCTGTGAAGCTGCCCAGATGGCCGTGCTTGCAATGTCTGGCCTCCCCTTTGCTCCTTCCTGTTACTAATAACCAGCTGATTACGTGGCGTCTCTTCCTCTCCCACCTGCCGCTGTGGCCCTTGCGCCATTCGTTGCCTGGCGGCGGCGGCATTTCCCAGGCCCTGCGGCTGTGCTTGGGCTTCGTGGTTTGTGCACTGGGAGCTGAATGTGCAGTGAGCGGGCTTGGGTGCTCCTCGAAGCGTTCAGAGCACCCAGGGGAGTGTCCTTCTTAAGTAGCTGCCACCCGTGGCTCCGCCCCCGCAGTGCGGTGGGGTGGGTGGAGACGTGGAACGGCACTGTGCCTAATTTGCTGGTGGCCGATGGTTCCTGCATGGCCCTGGCTTATACTTAAGTGAACATTCATTAATGTAAAATGACGTTGGAATGGAACGCCCATCTAGTTGTGTTTAGAAGGCAGAGCTAAGCGGGGGGCTGTGTATGTGCTGTGGCCGCGGCAGCGTGCACTCACAGGGATAATAACAAGTATTTGCTCTTTGCTGGTGCGCCATGCCCTCATCTCAGTGGCTACTGCCACTGCTTCTGCAAAGGTTCATTGAGTTGAGAGACCAGCTGGAGGCCACTCAGCAAGGGGCTGAGTGCAGAGGCCTTCAGACTCACTGGCCCGTTAGACCTGGCCTTGCTGGTAAACAAAACGGACCAGGAGGCAGGAGCCCTGACTCCAGGCCTCGCTCAGCCACAGACTCCTGTGTGGACAAACACCATCTCTCTGGGCCTCAGTTTCCTCACCAGTCGTGGAAGGGCCCGTGCAAATCCCCCAATTCTGTGGCCTAAGTGAATATTTGAACATAGAACGTAGACAAGTCCCATGATTTGCTAATGTATGCATCTCCCTCAGAACTTCATTCCCCCCATGGCTTGAGTTTGACCTTTGGATATTAAGATATTAAATAAGAGAGTCGTTTCTGTATATTTCATGCTTTATTTGCTGCAGAGGGATTTGCTGGGGAGCGGGTGCCCTGCTCCCAAGCCCAGCCGCCGGCCATGCAGCCCTCCATGGAGGCTCTCAGCGGCCAGTTCTCCCAGGAGCAGAGCGGCGGTCACTTGGCTGCTGGAGAAAATCAAGGTTTGTAGCTGAGTAGTGGCAGCAGGTCCCCAGGAGCTTACGAAACCACCTTCTAAAGCTGCCTGTGCCCCAGGGAGGAGGGGCACCCCCCCAGGGGTTTGGCCGGCTCAGCCAGCCCCACCTCTACCCTCTCTGTAGCCTGAGGCAAGTCATTTAGCCTCCCTGTCGCTCGCTGAATTCCCTGCTCCTGGGACCGTGAGAAGGAATTAGTGGCTGTTTGTCAGCAGAGACCTAGCTTTGCCCAAGTAACTGGGGCGACCTTGGGCTGGGCAAGGCCAAATGGGGCTCAGGACTGCGATTTGCAGAGTGATGAACACAATGCAGGCTTGCGGCCAGACTGCACTGTGTTCTTCAGAGTAACCAGCAGCTCAGTGGGGTTTTGAAGCAGGGGAGGGCTGGTGGGTTGTCACCAGAAAGGTGTTTGGGACGTGGGCCTGAGCCACTGAGGGAGTGCCCTGGCTGGGGGCTGGGCCCCTGGACGCCACAGCCATCAAGCCACCTGCTCCACGGCAGGGGAGGGCATGCTTCTGGGAGAAAACAGCTCGTTCTCGGGTGCAAAGCAGGAAAGCGAATTGCTGTGCCCAAACCCTGCTCAGACCGCTCGCTCCTGGAATGCTAACACGGGTGGGTGGTGTCAGTGCCGGAGACGCCGCCCTTACCGCTCTGGGTGGGCAGCACTCGCTCAGCAGCCCTTCCACGGCGGCCGGTACTTTTCCAGCTGCCTGGAGTTCATCCTCATTTCAATTTCCACGGGAGCAGTGAGCTGTGAAATAGGCAGAGTTAACAAGGAGGGAGAGGCAGAGAGGGAGAGAGGGGGAGTGCCGAGGACCCCTGGGTGCCCTGCGGGCGCCCTGCCGCTTGGCCCCACCCTGCCCATCCTCTGGGATCCTCTGGCTTCCAGGGCCTGCTGGGAACTCTGCCCCCCCACCCCCCTGGTCTAACCAGGGGGCTGGATCCTGGGAAGTTGCTGAGACCTGGGAGGAGGATCAGCACACCTCCTCTGGGGGAGCTGTCACAGGAGGGGTGGGCTGGCAGGACCCTCCTGGCTTTTCATGTGGGGGACACACACCTCCCCTTCTCCTGAGGCTATGCCACCACACACCAGATGTCACCCTAAGGCCTTCAGCATATTATTACGCCTTTCGGTAACCCTGTGATGTAGAGACTGTCAGTGTCCCCATTTTGCAGATGAGGAAACCGAGGACGAAATGGTTGAATAACTTGCTTGAGGCCACACAGGTACTAAGTATCGAGGAATAAAATGGTAACCCAGTGGGCCTGTCTCCAGGGTCAGTGCCAGTGCCCACCAGGCTCTACTGCTCTGGCGCTGTGGGGACACAGTGAGCCCTAGGGCCCTGTCTGGAGACTCATCTCGCTGTCACCCCCGAGCTTCCTGGTTCACTGGTCTTGCTGCCAAACCAGCTCCCACCTCCACCCGCTCCCTGGGGCTGGGAATGGGCTCGGATGCTGCAGGACACCTTGGCGGCCTGTGTGGGGCTCGGGCCCAGCCCGGCCTATGCCGCCCCCTGGCTGTGGCTGTCCTCCAGGCCTCAGTCTCCTCTGTAAAGGGAGGAGGCTGGGCTGACGATCCATAGGGCCCCTGGCCTGCCCAGCATGGCTCCAGGGAGATGGACAGGGGATGAGAGGTGCCCCCCGCCCCCTGTGCCTCCCGGATGTTACACTGGATGTAGCTTGTGCCGTGGAAACCTCAATGGGTGCCTTAACTCTGCCCCCGGTGCTCGGAAGAGAGCAGCTCCGGGCCAGCCTCCCTTCACCAGCAGAAGGACTCACTCCCATTCCCTCCTCAGAGCCCAAGGAGCCCCATGGGGGCCACAGCACCAAGATGAGCCTCTGGGCTACATGTCGGACCTCACTGTTTGGGGACAGCATGCTGTGCGACCTAGGGGGCGGGAAGATCACGGCCAGGGTCGGGGGGAGGCGGGAGGCATGGAGTCCAGCTCGTTCTCCCCTGACCCTGGGTGACCTTGGCAAGGCCTCACGCGTCTCCTCCCTCCCAGGCCTCCACAGGGAAGTGCTCACGCTCAGTCCTGGGGCCTCTCCCTTCTGCATCTGCCCGTGCCGGTCAGCGGCCTCACCCTGTCCCGGCTTGAATTCATCTAATCGCTGGGGACTCCCACGTGATGTCTCAGCCCTGGCCTCTCCTGAAGTGCCCTCTTCACTTACCCACCTGCCTGCATCGTCTCCACCCAGATGCCAACAGCATCTCAGTTTACAGGCCCCCTGACCTCCTGACCTTCCTCTTGTCACCCTGCAGCCAACCACAGGCTTCACCCTCCCGGGTGGCAGCTCAATCCTTCCGGTGTCCCGGCCGAAAAAGGGTTTTCTCTTTCCCCCTTTTCCACATCCCATATCCATTCTTCCAGCAAGTCCCGTGGGCTTCTGCCTCCAAAATATTTCCAGAATCTGACCTTTGCTCTGCCTCCACCATGACCGCCTGGGCTGAACCACTCTCTCTTGGGTTCTGTAGCCTCCTTAGGGGTCCCCCTCATTCCGCCTTCACCCCTTTAGCCTGTTCTCCATGTACATCACGTCCCTCCTCTGCTCAAAGGCCCCAGGGCTCCCAGTCAGCAGAGTGAAGGTCAGGTCCAAACAATGGCCCATGACATCCACATTCCGCCTCATCTCCCTCTCTCTCCCTTGCAGCCCCTCTGGCCTCTCACTGTTCCTTGGATGCTCCAGGCCCACTCCTGCCCCAGGGCCTTTGCACAGCTCTTGCTTCTGACTAGAATCTCTTCCCCCAAACATTCCTTTGGTTCACTCCTTCATTCTCTTCAAGTCTTTGCACTAATACCACCCAATCATGAAGCCTGCTCTGATCACCCTATTTAAATTGCAACCACCCCCTTCCTTTCCCTGCTTTGTTTCTCCGTAGCGCTTATCCTACCTGCTATGGGGCACAGTGGGCTTATTATCCTGCTCGAGGAATGTTGCCCATCCTGGCATCTGTTTCTGGTCCCCCATTGGAGCCAGGGAGCCAGGAGGGCTGCTGACACGTGTGTTTTGTCTACCGCTCTATTTCCAGGGCCCAGAACCGGCCACACACACAGAGGGCTCAGGGTATTCATGGTCAGAATACATGAACGTGAAACTACAGTTGTGCTGGACACAGTCCAGGCTCGCCGGCCCGGACGGTCTGGGCACCCTAACCTGTTGCTGAAGGTCCTGGGCCCAGGTCTTCACATGAGCTGTCTCGGATCATCTCTCTCCCATGGGGGCCTGCAGCTCCCCCCTGACAGTCTCCTGCCTTCCCTTGTGCTGCCCAGAGTCAGGTCCGGCCAAGTCCCTGCTTGGGACCCCCAGTGGCCCTGGCCCAGCAGGCTTTGCGGCCCTATCGCCTCTCAGGCCCCTGGCCTCGAGGACCGCACACCCGCCAGGTGCTTCCTGAGAAGGGCCGTTGCCTCCCTGTTCCAGCGGTGGAAAGCCCTTGCTCTAGCTCTCATGGAGGGGCTCCTCGTCATTCAGGTTTCAAAGGCAATGCCACCTCCTCCAAGAGGCCTTCCCTGACTGCCCCGTCCAATCCCACTCTCTCTGACACTCCTTTACTCGGCGCCTGAAACGGTGCACTGTCTCATGTCGGGGCCTGCCTTCCCACCGCATGGGGCTCACTACTGGACCCTGGCTTGCTGCTGAGCCCTGGCGTGTCCGGTGGCTGGCCAGGGACACCCACCAGGTGTCTCTGCATTGGCCGCCTGTCCGCTCACCTTGATAACTTGGTCGTCTTCTTCCTCGGTGATCTCTTCGGGGTCCAGAGGACCCACCTCTTCAGACCTCTGCTGTTCGCCCAGCGATTTCTTTTGCTCCTTGTTCCGCTCCTTTTCCTAGGGGCAGAGCACAAATGGCACCAAACCCGCCCTCCCTCTCCTCCCCAGATGGCCCTCACCTGCTTCTGCCCAGGGTGCCAATGGCCCAGCTCCCTCGGGCCACAGCCCCCTTCTCCCGTGCCTCCTGCACGAGTCGCAGACACCGTGGCCCAACACTGGCCCTCGAGTTGTCCACCAGCAGGTCAACTTGCAGAGGAATCTGGTCCTTTGAAGTTCAAACATTGCACCCAGATTGTTCCTGTTAATTAAGTTAAAATGCTGAAAATAATGGCTGCCCTGCATGCATATTAAGTGTGAAAATGTGTTTTTCTTAGCAGAGAACCTATAAAAAAGGTGGAAGACAGCCTAGCCTGTAGGGCGTCAGGGGGCCCAAAGCTCGAGTCCCTGGGAGGGGATTTATAAGAGGGAAGGCAGGAAGATGACTGATGGAGGAGGGAGCTTGCAGCTTCTTCATACAAACCCCGGAGCCGGGCAATTGGAGGGAGCAAGACCGCAGAGCAGGTTCACGCAAAGCGTCCTGTGGTTGTCGTTTTTGCTAGTTTATGTTCTACTGAGTTTGGCTCTTTCTGTCCAGCCTCCATCTTGCCTGGCACCCCACTGGCCAGGCCCGAGCACTCAGACCAGACCCGCTGCGCTCTGGCTTCTTAACGGCACTCCTGGGGTTCAGCTCGGGCCTGCCCTGGCGGGCGGTTCTAGAACCGCGGTCATTTTTTCTGGAGAGGGACCGGGGTGAGGGAGGTGTGTCCCTGAAGGAGGGGTCTGAGTCTAGCCTTGGCTCTGCAAGGGCCGCTGCTCAGGGACGTGGATGCCTGTCCGGGACAGAGGTTGCGGATACGGAAGCCGGCCCCAGGCCACGCGACCTCCCAGAGAACAGGGAATTGATTCTGGTGTTTGTCCCAGCGGGGCCTTGGCCTTGGACGGGCAGGAGGTGCCAGTTCCATTTCTTCATCTCCTCGGGTGAAAGAGAACCCCACGTCGCACGGGCACTCAGAACCCCTGTGTCTAAAGTGAGTCACTGGGCCCTAATTGGTTTGGTTCAGTGGATAGAGCGTTAGCCTGCAGACTGAGGGGTCCCGGGTTCGATTCCGGTCAAGGGCATGTACCTTGGTTGCGGGCACATCCCCAGTAGGGAGTGTGCAGGAGGCAGCTGATCGATATTTCTCTCTCATAAATGTTTCTAACTCTCTATCCCTCTCCCTTCCTCTCTGTAAGAAATCAATAAAATATATTAAAAAAAAAAATAAAGTGAGTCACTGGGCCCGGCCAGCGTGGCTCAGTGGTTGAGCAGCGACCTCTGAACCCAGAAGGTCAGGGCGCATGCCCGGGTTGCAGGCTCAATCCCCAGTGTGGAGCGTGCAGGAGGCAGCCGATCAATGATTCTCTCTAATCATTGGTGCTTCTCTTTCTCCCTCTTCCTTCCTCTCTGAAATAAAAAAAAATATATTTTAAAAAATAAATTAAGTCACCGGGAGGCAGTCCTGTGGCCCAGCTGTCCTGCAGCTGCCACCTGGTGTCGTCTGGGCTCTAAGAGAAGGAGGCCTTGGCCGCTGCTGGACGTTTGCCCACCGGGGCCCCTCCTGGTCTCCCAAGGCTCAGTCTCACCTGCCCCCGGGGCTTCCCAGGTGCCAGCCCGAGTGCCTCCCCTCCTGGGACTCAGCACTAAGGACAGGGCACCGCCTGGGCAGTTAACCGGCTAGTGACTTCCCCACGGGTCTGTCTTGGCTCCCAGGCCGGCTCCTGAAGACGGAGGGCTTGGGCTTCCCCGTACGTCTCCCTGTATGTCGGCCTCTCACCCAGATGCTGAGCGAATGTGCACTGACGTGGTAACTGGAGGCTCCTCGGGAGGTGGGTGGCCGGGTGGGAAGAGATGCCCCTGACACCGACTGGCTCTAGAGGAGTGGAGGCCAGGGCGGCGCTGGAGCCTGGTCCCGGCCCCCATGCTGTCCCCTGGCAGAGCTGATCAAACGCAGGTTGACTCTAGACCTAACACCTCTTCAGTGTGAGCAGGGCTGTGTCACCTGGGCCACGGCGGTGGGCACTGGGCAGTAGGCCATAGGTCGTGGGCACTGGGCGGTGGGCCGCAGGTGGTGGGCACTGGGTGGTGGGCTGTGGGTGGTGGGCACTGGCTGGTGGGCAGTAGGCAGTGGGCCGTGGGTGGTGGGCACTGGCTGGTGGGCACTAGGCAGTGGGCCGTGAGTGGTGGGCACTGGCTGGTGGGCAGTGGGCAGTGGGCTGTGGGTGGTGGGCACTGGGCTGCGGGTGGTGGGCACTGGGTGGTGGGCACTGGGTGGTGGGCACTGGGCGGTGGGCCAAGGTCATGGGCACTGGGTGGTGGGCACTGAGTGGTGGGCCGTGGGCAGTGGGTCATGGGTGGTGGGCACTGGGTTGCAGGCACTGGGAGGTGGGCCAAGGTCATGGGCACTGGGTGGTGGGCACTGAGTGGTGGGCCGCGGGTGGTGGGCCATGGGCAGTGGGCGGTGGGCACTGAGTGGTGGGCACTGAGTGGTGGGCACTGAGTGGTGGGCACTGAGTGGTGGGCAGTGGGTGGTGGGCCATGGGTGGTGGGCCATGGGTGGTGGGTGGTGGGCACTGAGTGGTGGGCTGTGGGTGGTGGGTGGTGGGCACTGGACGGTGGACACTGGGTGGTGGGCCATGGGCGGTGGGTGGTGGGCACTGAGTGGTGGGCTGTGAGCGGTGGGCACTGAGTGGTGGGCTGTGAGCGGTGGGCACTGGGTGGTGGGCACTGGGTGGTGGACACTGGGCAGTGGGCCACAGGTGGTGGGCACTGGACGGTTGGCCGTGGGCAGTGGGCCATGTAGGTGGGCAATGGGCCATGGGGGTTCTTACCTGCATCCTCTGGAGCTCGCTGTGCGTGAAGATGGGAACGAAGGCTTCCGTCTGGGAGGCCAGCAGAGCGGCGACGTGAACCATCAGCAGAGCAGCCAGGGCCTTGCGGGACACCATCCTGGAGCTGGGCGACAGGGGCTGCTGTCACTGTTGGGGGCAGTGATGGGCGGCTGCACTGGAGGCGGGAGCGCTGGTCCAGGCCCCGCCTGGGCTGTGTGACCCTGACACCTGCTCAGCCCCTGTGACAGGGCCTGCGTGGGGCTTTGCCAGGTGAGCTCAGGCCCCTCTCTGCCCCACAGCCCTGAGAGCTGACCACGCACCCGGCGAGGCCGCCTGGCCCCTGCCCGCACCAGGGCAGACTCATCCCACATGGGCCCTTCTTGTTATCGGTGAGGTCTGCTGGGGCCCCAGAGGCTCCTGATGTGGGAGGGGCCTCGTGTCTCAGAGAAAAAACCCCTAGATACCACAGAACCATGCCGAGGCCTGGGGACCCCGCCCCTGAGCCGATCAGGGTGTGGGGAGGATGGACCAGGCCCAGATGCCCAGCTCTACTCCAGGTCTCGAGGGAAAAGCACTGAGACCTTCTGCCCAGGGGAGGCAGAGCCAGACAGAGCCGGGGTGAGGCCCCACCCGCTGGGCGGCACTGGCTCTGGAACCAGCCCCTGCCCAGCCCCTGAAGCAGCTGCCTGTTCGCTGTCATGGGAAACAACAGGGGTACCCGTCCCTGCAAGTTGCCACCCCACACCTCGGCATCCATGAGTGCGGGGCAGGCCTGGGGCCCCTCTCGCATCCCAGGAAGTGGCTTTTTGGCTGCAGACACCTGGGAGGGAACAGTGGGCGCGGTGGCTGCGGCAATGCAGCGACTGAGACAGGGCTCAGCAACTGGGCAGGGGGTGGGGGGCGGGTAAGGGGGTGGGTGGGTTAGGAGGTGGGGGGTAGGGGGGTGGGGGGGTGGAGGGGGGGTGAGTGGCGGGGGCAGGGCCAGCCGGGAGGGCCCCAGGGAAGACATGTGGTCTGCTTGCTGGGTGCGGGCCTGGGTGATTCCTTCCTAGCCCTCCTGCGTGATCCACATGCCCACCTGGGAGCAGGTGTGACCTGGGGAGGGAGGAGACTTGGGGAGGTGGAGGGACTCATTCAGGGGCGGGGGTGGGGTGGTGGGGTGGGGGCTGGAGCCTGGCCATCTGAGGCCGGGTGCTTTCCCCAGTCCCCACCGCATGTTGCCTCTGGCCACAGAAGGCAGGGAGGGGCCTCCCCGGGCCAGGCCGGTGACTGGACTCCTGGCACCATGCCGGGGTTCATGTCCCAGCATCAAGAAGGGTTCAGGAATCTGGAAAAGGCTGTGCGCAGATGACATCGAAATCCAGAGACTAATAAAGAGTCCGGAGACGAGTTATAATTCTGAAAGGCGTTTTGGGGGTCAGAGGACCTTCAGCTGAAGGAACTGAAGACTCCCTCCTTGTCTAGGCCCCTTGCTTTTATTAACACAATTTGTCCTAAGGCAAGGTGGAGATAATACACTTCAAAGGGTAAGGCTTCAAAGGGTACAGAAGCATTGTCAGTTTGGGGAATAGCCTACGGCTGTTCAGGTGTTTGGCCAGTAGGAGGCAATAACATGTAGATTAAGATGCCCTTTAACTGTCTGGCAGCCACAACCAGTTTCCTGTTCAGGTTTGGGGAAATGCCTTTAGCCATTCCCAACAGGTGACTACATGTGTGACTCAACCCTGCTGAGTCCCCAAGTTTCATCAACCTTCTGATGAAAGTCTTGAAATTATGACATGCTGGAATTGGTCTACGGCAGCACCAGCGTTCCTATGCTGGGTGGGCTGCCGGGCCCCAGACAGGGAGGGATTTCAGATAATGAGCTTCCGGGGCTCACCTGGGGGTGGGACAGGATCTGCTGTACAGGAGAGCCCTGCCTGAGCCGGCCTCTCGCTTCTCCCAGGTCCGCCCTGTCTCTCCGCTCCCCCGAGAGAATCTTCCAGGCTGTGTCCTCCCCCTCTGCCAGGCCCTCTCTCTCAGTCCTCTGAGGCCACCTGTGCCCAGCGGACGCTCCTCTGCATCTTGCTACCCTGGTGCCCATCCTACTTTCTCTCCTCGTCTGGATAAAACTCTATGAGCAAGAACACTGGCACCCAGGCAGCCAAGGCCTCCAGGCCAGGCGCGTACAGGTTCCCAAGGGCGGGGAGGGCAGCCGGCCTCTGAAGATCCCTCTCTCGGAGGACCTGAGGGGACAGAGGCCGGTGGGGGTGGGGAGCCCTGAATCGCAGCTCCTTCCTCGCTCCTATCCTTCCCCTTCACAGTCTCTGCCCCCCCCCCCCCCCCCCCAGAGGAGACGCCTGTGTTACAGTGAAGCCCTTCCATTTCCTTCACGGAGATGCTGCAGACCCTTTTCATTCTGTGTTGGCATTAATCCACTCTGTAAGGATCAATAAAAACTTGAAATAAAAAAGGCAGAATCCATTGCTGCTCATTTTCTTGCTCCAACTGGCAGTCGGCATGTCTCCTACACTCACTGTGTCGCAGAGGAGAGCGAGCTGAGCTCTCTGCTGCCTGAGGGCTGACTTCCCATCCCAGAACCGGAGGGGCGGGTGTTGCCTCCAGCCCATCCCCTCCCGCCCCCTCCCGCCCCTCCAGAGGAGGCCAGGCCTGGGAGCCCTGGGGACCCGTCTTTCCTCTTCACTCCAGAGCAAAGCTTCCCTACCACAGGGGCCCTGGGGACCCGTCTTTCCTCTTCAAGTCCAGAGCAAAGCTTCTGTGCCACATGGGCCCTGGGGCCCTGCTGAGCTCTGGCTGGGGTTTCAGCTGGCAGTCGATGGCACCACTGACCCCAAACAGAATTGCACCCACCTGCTCCCTCCGGCCTCCAAGCTCAGGGCAGCCTCGTTTCCCCTTACCTGCGCCCAAAACCAGGGTGGGGCACTCAGTTGGACCCCACTAAGTATGGAAGGTGGCAGAGGGGCTACCCTGGGGTTCATGCTCACCCCCCCTTCCATGGCTACTCACGGCGTGGGCGTGGTCAGCGTGGGCCTGGCAGAGTTGCTGCTCGTCCTCTGTGTCTGCCTGGCCTGATGGGCCCTTATATATCTCCAATCTCCCCTTTGGAGCGCATTGACCTTTGGCCACACCTTTGGGGGTGCTGGGTGGGGAGCCTGGATTCTTGGGGCTCATGGAAACAAAGGCAGGCCTGCCACGCCGTGGCTGGGGCTTTCCCGGAGGCCCCTTCTGTGGGCCGCGGCCAGGGTTCGGTGGCAGCCAGCCCCACAGATGGCATTCTCCTGCCCATGTGGACCTCTGCGCCCACCCAAGGGTCGTTCTATTGAAAGCCGTTTCTCTGTTGTCCCTTCCATGTGAGGTCACCAGGCCAGCCCTGCTGACCGGAGTCTCTGTTGAGTCTTCCCCCTTAAGCTCCTCTCGGTTCATCCATGAATGAAAAGAAAACGACAGCCCAGGCCAGCCGTGGGCAAACTACGGCCCGCGGGCCGGATCCGGCCCGTTTGAAATGAATAAAACTAAAAAAAAAAAAAAAGACCGTACCCTTTTATGTAATGATGTTTACTTTGAATTTATATTAGTTCACACAAGCACTCCATCCATGCTTTTGTTCCGGCCCTCCGGTCCAGTTTAAGACCCCGTTGTGGCCCTTGAGTCAGAAAGTTTGCCCACCCCTGGTCCAGGCCAGCCGAGCGCCAGAGGCTCGGGGAGCCCAGTCACCATGGCACATGCGTGCGGCGAGTGGGGCAGGAGGGTTACCGTCTGCGGCCTGGATAGGAGGACACCCACCGGGAGGTTTGTGGTCACCGTGTGATTCTAACGGTAAACTTAAGGACCGAGGCGGGAGAGGCGAAAGCATTCTGCCGTCGGACAGGCCGGCCGCGCAGGGCGTGCTTGACATGTGAGCGCATGAAAGCTCAGCAGCCCACGCGGGGTGCTCATGCCCCCGGTTTACAGATAAGGAACCTGAGGCACAACTGACTCGCTCCTCTGTGACGACGCACAACAGGTCTCTTCACACAAGGGTCAAGGCTGGGCGTGGCCAGGCGGGCAGAGGGAGGGAGGGAGTGGCCACACGCAGGTGCAGAGATGGCACAGTGGGGGCATCACAGAGGACCCACGTGGGTTAGGACAGTCGCCCTGGGGTCAGCGTGTGGGTCCCTGAGGAACCCAACATGCAGATGGGGCGGCTTGTCCAGGAGCCTCTCCCATCAGCCCGTCTGTCTGCCCTGGCTTTTCACCTCTGAAAGGAGCAAAGGTTTATGGGCTTCCAGCCCGGCCAGACGATCTCTCCCCCCTCCCGGGTCAGCAAGGTTCCCCACTGGTCTCTGTGCCACCGACGCCAGGACTCAGAGGAGTTCGGTCCGGCCCACGAAGCTGGAAATGTTTATGATGTGGACCTCATAGAAAAAGTGCCGGCTCTGACTCGACAGTGTCTGGGTGGAGGGTGGTGCCCCAGGAGTGAAAATGACAGGCAGACGTGACACACACTAGTTTTAAAAATCTCACACCCCTACCAGGTCGGGGTGGCTATTGTCCTATTTTACAGGTGGGAAAGCTGAGGTGGAAGGACTGGCCTAAGGTCACACAGCTCTTAACACGCAGGGCCATTATTCAAACTCGAGAGTCTGGCTTTAGGACCGGCCGTGCTTTGTGCCTGAGTGTTTGCTGTGTGAGTACGGGCCTGGTACAAATTCTTCAAACCTGCCCTCTTCCCTGAGCCACCCCGGCAAGGTGCCTGAGCGCGATGAGTCTGAGCTGAGCAGCGGGACAAACACTGTTGTTCTGTGTGTCTTAGGCTTGGGGAGTCCAGTCTGGACCCAGGAGGACGCAGATGGCGGCCAGACCCCGCGCCAAGCAGCAGGCGAAGTGTGAGGCTGCTCGCCGCTCTCCACCTCCTCTGGGCATCCGGGGCTCTGGCCCAGTGACACCTTCAAGACACTGAGACACGATTAGGGACAGGCCTGTGAGGGGGGAGAAGGGAAGAGACCGGTTTTCTGGGTGTGCATCCCCTGCTGGGCCGCTCCTGCGATGCGGCACTTCAGCCCGGCAGGCGGCAGCACTGCGGCTGGCGTCTGCAGTTCTGCAGTTCGGTGCGGAGTGGGCTTGGCAGCGTTCACAGG